ACCACTCTCTCTCTCTCTCTCTCTCTCTCTCTCTCTCTCTCTCTCTCTCTCTCGCTCGACTCTTTCTTCTGTATTCGTTTCACATGATGCCATGTATGATTTGATGCAAATTTCTACGAAAGAATGATGCGAATCGAACAAGAATAAGAACGAATCACTCTCACCAAGATTCAACTCGACTGATTTGTTCTACACATTATTATCTTCACTTTTACTTAGGATACGAATCATCCTTTTAATGTACATACACGATCCGATTTTTTTGCTTGGAATGGGCTTGTCATGGTCCCAAATTTTTTAGAGTGGTCCATGGATCGTACTCAATCGAGGACGAGCTCATGAAGGTGTAATTCCAGTGGGCACAGTGGGAGCACTCAATGCGTTGTAATTAATAGCCATTAGAGGAGTTGACCTGCACGCCATGCAGTGGATAGATGGAGTAAAAGGACTTCCCATGCTCGTGAGAGAGACTACCAACAAAGAAGACTGGACCCGTCAATGGCGATCGCATGAAAGATGCTGATGAGGAGCACGCCATGTGCATGCTCGGGACAATCAATACATGGCGAAGACAGGGTTGATGTACAGTCCGTGGACCTTCCTCTCCTCTCCTCTCTTGACCTTCTCACCCATCATGCACGTTGCCGTGCGATCACATGCAGCTTACGTGATTGCATACCCACTTGTGTCCGTAGCACCAAGTGTCTCTCTGTGGCCCAGCCATGAATGGACTGTGCACAGTAGGTGTCTGTATTCATGGTGCTTTGAGATGTGTATTGCTCATGATAGAGCCTTTCCTTTCACTTAATGGACTGCTCAGGTTGGTAGCTCGTTGTTATAGTATATTGCTGTCAATGATGAATCGCTGCATAATATCCCATTTGTACTTTGTTTCATATGGAAAGATCCCCAAGAAAAGTCAAAGGTGATGGGATTTGTCGCTTAGATGTTGGAGAGCACAGTTCACTACGAGGAAAGTGAGTGTAACAGTAGATGATCGAGGCTTCAACATCATCACCCCTTCAAGTAGAAGAACAGTGCCTATTCCTGTGCGGCGATCTGAGTTGCTCAAGTCTCATGATATATTTTGTATGTTGACTTAGTCTACAGTCGAGTGAGAATAATTTGGAAGCAAGTCACTGTAAAAATATCATGTGAAGGGGACAATTGTAGTAATTATTATTGAGTTTCTTCACTGTTTATCAGCAACATCATCACCAGCTGCAGGAGCAGCATCTCAACAGTATGAATTATGATCAATTATGATGGAAAGTTGGAACCCACTATGATACATATCAGCAGTGGAAGCGCAGAAACAGCTTGCAAGAACAAATGGTTTCTGTGTGATGTGTTCAACAGCAATTATTGCAGGCACTCACGCATCATGGTCTCTTAATCATAAAGATTACTAGTCTCATACAGTGAATGCAGTTGAGAGGATGATTGATTGGTGTTGTTCCGATACAAACAATGGTTGTAACAGGCTGTTAAAGCTCTTGACATCCATCGCAATGGCTTGAAAGGTGCCCATGAGGAGCAGGTCATGTGCATGTCGGAGGTAGAAGACGAGTGAAGGGACATGAAATATCTGTAGCCTTTCTTATGGTGGAACAAACCACGGACTTCATAGAGTAATCTGTGCACTCGTGAGCTTCGACTTGGGAGTTTCTGATGATGATGAGTGTATAACCTTCTCCCGGCACATTACAAGGCATGAATTGACAGAGCTTGATCTCGTGGAAAGACCACTGCAGAGAGCTCACAAGCTGGCAATCTGTAAAGCACGTAGATGCCAAAGATCACATGCGGATGCAATGGCCATGTCTAGCTTTAGCAAAGCATGGGCCATTTCCGAGCTTGAAGGTGATATCACAACTCACTGTTCATACATGTTTGAGAGTTGTTCGGATTGAGCAACAGAAGAAGTTCCAAAACTTACACTTAATTTGTTCTACTGTGAATCAACCGTAGATCTCACACTACACTCCATATCGTTCATGTCTTAATGCTTAACTTGTTCTGGTTCTTAGCATCAAGCAGAAGTTTGAGCTGCGCTGCTGCAAGAACTCAGAGAACAGAGTTCTAAGCAGACAATACTTGGGAGACAGAGAGAGAGAGAGAGAGAGAGAGAGAGAGTGTGTTGCAGTGACAGAGGAGCAACTTCTCCTCTTCTCCTCAACAAATTATGGCGTACGGTTGGATGGCGCGACCGGCACGCCATGTAGTATACACACTAATCCATCCCAAGCACGTCGGAGATGGCAAAAAAGGTGGTCATTTGAGCGCAGAGGTGAGGGAGCGGAAGACGGTCTCGTCGCAGGGGATGGTGAGGCCCATGTGGTGGTGGAAGCCGAACTCCTCCTCGGCCTGGCGGAGGAGGCCCTGGAACTGGGGGTGGTCCAAGTAGGAGATGGGCACGATGAAGCGGCTCCGGTTCGTGCCGACGTAGACGACGAAGTGGCCCTTGGGAACGTCCACCGGCGGCCCTTTCCCCCTCCCAGAGCTCGAGCACCGCTTCAGCATCTGCTTCAGTACTTGAGTCTGAACCAGCTTGCTCTGCTTCTTGACCACCATACTTACCCTTTTTCGTCACCAGGAGCAGCAGAAACAGAGGAAGGAAGGTTGAGATTGTGGCGGAGGAAAGACGAGGGTGGGGGGTTATTTATCTAGGCAAGGTGGAGAGTGACGGACAGGAGCATGTGAAGCGGTGGGGGTGAGAAGGGAAAGGACGCAGAGGACGGAAGAGGGAGGGGTACAGTTGGGTGCTGCGGCCGTGCAAAAGGACGTGCGGGGTCGACATGCGCAGTGGCCGTGATGACCTGACGTGGTTCACCTGTGCGTGCCACACGCCCATGCATCCCAAGGACTAATCACCCGAACTCCTTCACTGCAACGCCATGAGGTAAGAGATGACCGTAAGCTCTGCCCGTGTTGCACCTCAAAGCATCGTTTAGGCTCGAGATCTGATGATACAAAAGGTTCCAACTTTATGCCAAGTTTCTAATCCGAAGACCATTTGATTGCGTCCTTCTCAGAAGCCACGACATGACTTGTCTTCTGCACTAACTTTGTGTGCACTTCAACAGAACAAACATGCAGGAACCTTCCTTCTCGCTAAGTTCTCTGATAACCCCAAGAGAGAGAGAGAGAGAGAGAGAGAGAGAGAGAGCGATGAGCCGTACTCGAGGGTACTTCTCCCACGGTGCGGGTTGTGTCATCACGGCAATAGCAGAAGCCATGTGGTGGCTCCGCCAGCCCACTGTCGATCTTTAGTGGGCAGAGTAATCGCCTGCGCTTTATCCCGGATGAGGGACACACTGCTGCATTCACTTTTGGACTATTGCAGTGCTTGCAGACCTGCTTTAGCCTCAGCACTAAACACTAATGGATTCAAGGGTTTGAAGGCTTGCCATCTTTAGCAAGAACAGAGCCAAGAAAAAGGAGAAGAGAGAAGAGGGAAGAGGGAGACACCCCAATACAGCAAGCAGAATGCAGTTGCCAGGAGCGGCAATGGATGGGAAATGGATCATGCAATTGTGGTGACAGTGACTGCACGATTCTGCACTGCACATGAATGCCATGTTACTCTTGCTCCCAAAGTTTCCTCCATAGGAACCACAGATGGTCCCATTAAGGTCACTGCAAGCCAACTACTGCTTCACACAGAAAGTTACTCATCATCTTTCTCAACACCACTGTAATTGGCAGAGAAGTGAGCTGAAGTCTTCAATATCTAATTGAGAGAATAATTAAAACGTAAACTTGAAATCTAATATATATATTTTTTCTTTTTATTAATTAGAACAGATGATTGAAACTCGAATTGAAATCAGAACCATATGAAACCTTCGATTCTTAATTTGACAGAACCAAAACCACCGATTCAGGAATCAAAACGGACGATTCTTTGAGGCACAACACAAGCATGTCGAGAGGTATCGGTAGCAAGACGAGAGGGAAAGGAGTTGTCTGTGTCACAGAGAAGGCCCAGTGAAATGAGACAAACACACAGCGATACTGTAGACAATATCGCAATCCGATGACACCGATTCATGTAAAGGAACGTAAATGATGTGTACTTACCAACATCTAAGGGCGCGTTTAAGTACATGCAGCAGTCATTCACGTACGTAGATTGACAGCATGACTGCAAGTGTCATGTCTGACCTTGAACCGGATCTGTCATTCGAGGACAGCATGACGTACGTAGGAGTAGTCGAGGAAGGACAATGATAAGGAAAACGATATGTCAGACTAACCAATACAACCTCAAGTGAACTCTCTCTCTCTCTCTCTCTCTCTCTGCTACAGTTGTGTCACCATTTTGGAGTTCTACCACAAATTTCAGCAGCTGAGGCAGGCTGGGCTTTGTGCCAATAATTCTCTGAGAGTACATTGATGCATCTACTGATCGCGATTTCGAAGCCATTGATTCTGGTTTTGAAATCATTAGTTTTGATTTTTTTTTTTAAATCAGAAATCGAAACTAAACTGCTGATTCTGTGTTGGTTCTGATTCGAATAATTAATTTTTAAATTAATTTTTTAAATTAAAATTTTTAAAAAAGATATTTTTTTAAAATAATTTTGTTTATTTTTTTTTAAAAAAATATAATTATAATGAGTGTAACAACATAAAATAAATGATACAGAAAAGAATAAAACTATAAAAAGTTAAATCAAATAAACAATGCTATCAAGATTCCAATCCAAGTTTATTGTGTTTAAAATTATATAATTTAACCACTATATACCCTCTTCATGTTAATTTTTTTATTTTTATCATACTTAATTAGTTTGGAATCGAAATCATCAATTCTGGGTTTTCAAGATTGGGAACAGAGATTCTGATTTAATTTGAAACCGATGAATCGTAAGATCATTTGGTTCTTAATTTAGCTTGATTCGATTCAATTACAAGAAGTAATGTGAACATAAATTTTAATTTTTTTTAATTTTTATCAATCAAATTGTTCAGGCTATAAAAATGAATTTTCTTTTATTTTTGAAACTCTAAATACAAACTTTTTTAAGCCTCATGGATCTTTTCAATCCCAATATTTGGTAATTACTAACTTGAGCATTCCCTTCACCCATGTTTTACATAAAAAAAAGAATGGATTAGAGTTAAATCATTTAAAAATCTCTCCTTGAGGTTCCAAGTCAAGTTCTCACCTTAGGATTCAACTAACGATCTTTTCAAGAATATGATTCTAAAAACCAAACTATGTGTTTTAACGATTAAATTTGATATTAATATAGAGATATTTAGTCTCTTTATTTAAATTTTTATAATATCTCGATTAGTCCTATATTGAAAATGAAGTGGACAAAGTTAATATTAGTTTATAAGGGTCTGATGAGTATAATATCATCAACTTTAACTTAAGTAATAAATAAAATTGATAGACCAATTAGCTCATCAAGTCCAAGTCGTCACATTTAATATTAGATAATGGGTTTAATAGGAAAAGACTATGAAGATAGACTACGCCTCATATATATATATATATATATATATATATATATATATATATATATATATATATATATATATATAATATTAAATCAAATAAAATGAGCAAAATTAATATTGATCTACTATTAACTTTAACCCAAGTATTTTAATCAATGATTTAAATCAAACCAAATCGAACCTTAATAAAGAAAAAAGAAGAAGCATTCTTGTTCATTGAAGTCAAATACAGGCTATTTGTTCTCCATAAGTAAAGGCGTTTCTTTTGCTGTGCTCTCAATAAACAATACCATGAAAGATCCCCAAATCATTGCAATAAAGACTAGAAACAAATCATCAAACGATCCACATCATACCTAAAGATTAGCTAACTTGATAGAACCTTTCACCATACCAAATAAATGTTCCTTTTTTGCTTTCTGGATCGTGGTCCAATTATAATAAGTTTTTGGAAGATTACTCGTGTGAAGCAGATGCTGAGGCCATTATCAGTCAATGATAAGAAGAAACAACATCTGATTACTCATACATGTCTTTGATCTGAATTATAGAACTGTGAGTTTGTTAAGTGAATTTCTAATTATCTTACATGGATATTAATTCCGATCTATTCAAGGTTCTTTGTTGTTTTTGTTATATGATCACGTAGTGTCAAACTCAGTGGTCATAGGGTAATGGTTAGCTAAGTTGGCTTCTTAGTTATACAATATGACAAGCTCTATAGGATTTAGTTGGTCTTTTAGTCGATATCGTGAGGAACTAGATCATATAGAGGTATGATCGAGAGCTACTAGGAGCTCCACTTTGGTGAACAACATGACGATAAGAAAAGCTGTGGATTCAATGAGTGAATGATATGGTATCACAGAGACGGGTTTTCCATGCGTGCATCAAATTTTACATTGGATAAAAGTCTTGGTCATAGCTGTATACTACCGAGGTGAATATCGAATACAAGTACCAGTAAATCCCATAGGAGAGGACTTGATCATGCAGAGGTATGATCGGAGCAGCTGGAGAGTTGGACTACTTAGAACATATCGACTAAAAGTGATTATATCAGCTTGATGATGATGAAAGGTCGATTTGTGTGAACATATCGATGAAATATCGATAACCAGCCATATGTCGTAAACCCCATTTCACATACAAATTGCAGTGTAAATTTGAGTTCACTGACATCTAAAGAAGCTTTTACCTGTCGATGCACTACTCAGACTACATGATGATGAATTCGGATGCAGCGGCAGTAGGATTACAGGTCAGCTGTTTTGCTCGAAAGATATCAACAAGAACAGTAAGAACAGATTTGACTGAAAACAGTAAGAACAGCCTCAAGTGAAAGAACAACAGGAAAAGATTTGTTGCGATTCCTCGAATTCTGCAACCTCTTCTGATTCTTCTTTGTGACAGAACAAGACACTGGGTGGGCTTGCAGCATGTCATGAACCAGATCGAGATGGCATCTTTAGCCCTAGTGTTTCTCGAGAAAGGAAGTGTTGGGTCACCATCTGGTTGTAGGCAGCGAGTTGCCATCACAATGGTAGTGAAACAGTGGTTGCTTTGGCAAGAAGTTATTATATCTGAAGTGCAAGTTCTTATTCATGCAAGATCTGATCGCCTTTGAACTTACTTCCACTGATTGCCAACCTCGTCCTTTTCTTTGCTTGTAGGAAAATGATGGACTGCGAGATCTGATGTTGGCTTGTTATTAGGTAATCCAAGCCTCATATCCTCCTTTTGCCAACCACAACTATCATATTCTCTCTCTCTCTCTCTCTCTCTATCTCTTCAATGATACTGTATCATGTGTATTTAATTTCTTGACCTTATGTTGGTGTTTTCTTCTCATGGCGACGTTCCAACCACAATACTAGCAAAGGAGAGCTCCTTCCTCGCATGAGGATATGTATAGGTGATAGTTGAATCGATTCGATTTGATTTGAATTTGTGTGCATAAAGTATATAGGGAGTCTTTGGGGTGTCAATGATTACATGTTAAGATAATTAATTTATTAATTTTTATTATTCATATTCGAATCATTAAAAAGCTCAACTAGCGATAATTTACATAATCGAAGCTATAGAATAAAAGATGTGTATAAGATTCATGCTATATTATTATTGATTTTAAACCATATTATAAGTTTATTATTATTATACATTTGAAATTTATCTCTTTTATGATGTAAAGATTTCAAATAGAAAAAATATATTAATATAAATTAGTGTCATGGATGATTATCACATCTTCATGTGATGAAGTTAATATGACATGATTCATAAAATCGTATACCTCTCTATTTATTTGAGTTGAACATGTCAAGTTTAGATTGATCATCCATGATTTGATTGGACTTCAAATATTAAGTCTTGATTGATTATGAATTCTAGCTCGATTAATATCTAAGTATCATCTTATTTTAATCATGATACTAACATATTAATACTTTATCTTTGTGCGAATCTCTTATCGACGATATTACTCGTATTTATTTTCATCTCACTTACAAGAGTAAATGATGAACGGTCGAATTGATCCCACAAACTTAGCACATTTCAAAGATATATCATATGATACTTCAAATCCTCAAATGAGTTCGATACAGTTTGATACGATCAATGTTTTATACATAAATAAAATATATTAAATAAAAATTTAAATCCTCGGTCTTTCGGGTAATTGAAACCTAAAATCTCTTCACCTCTTTTGAATTCATCCAAACAAAAAACCAAAATTGTGCAAGCTCAGTTCCAAGAAGGGACAATATCTTAATGAGTCATTGAAACCTACTGATATTGATAATGATGATGAGGTACATGATCATAATGATCAAGTAGTGATCGTACTATTGTCGTACCCGTTCACGTACCCATCCCACCATGGTGGGCTCCATGGCCGTCTCACTACTCTTTGCCCCTGCCCGCTCCAACAAGCTTTTAAGGGGACAAAGCGAGACCCCGTAAAAAGCTGCAACCAATCAGAAACAAGGTAAAGTTCGAGGGAAAAGTGAATGAAAAGCAGAGCCCCAAATAAAAACGGAACTCCAATTGCGGCCCCAATTGCTTCTCCCCCACTCTCACCCACCTCAGTGGGCCCACCACCAAAAGCCCACTCATCCTTTCTTTACCCTTTCGGTCGCCTTTCAATTTGAACCTCTCTCTTAGTCTCTCACTGTCTCTCTCTCCTCTCGTTCTCGTCTCCGATCGCTTCTCGGCGGTTGTGATCGAGGAAGTAGTACCGCATTACGTTGTAAGAGAAGAGGCGAGGGCTTCTTCTGCTTCTTGGCCTACTTCGATCGACGGTGGGGGATGGCTTCCGGGAGCTACAGGAACGGAGGCCCCAAACCGACCTCCAAGCTCGACCGCCTGCCCCCCTCCACTGCCTACTCCACGCCCAAACCCTCCGCCAAGCCCAGGCCCTCCGCCGCTCCCGTCCCTCGTCGTGGCGGCTCCGTCGCTCCTGCCGCTGCCTCCGCCGGCAAAGCCGGCGGCGATGCTGGAGGTTCGTCCACACACACACACACTCACTGAGGTCCTTTTAGATCACGTACATTCTGCGCATTGATCTGTGTTTTAGTCTGTGCTTTTCCCCTATAAGTGCATGCTGCTGTTTTGAGCTGCATTTTTGTTAGCCTAAAGTGGCAATTCACCCTAACCTATCAACATGTCGTTCTTTGCGGTTGATGCTTGTATACTCGAAAGCTTCATAAATTGGGAATTTCTGTTTCCTGCTTGCTTGGGGGACTAGTCTGAATTCTTATGCTCGTGGCGGCATAGGAGAAGAGCGTGGAGCTGCGAGTGTTTGAGGTAGAGGTGTATTAAGATTTGCAAATAGATTTATATGCAGATTGGGCAGGCTAACGAACGGGTTGTGGCATCTGAATAGCTCGGCTGGGAATGAAAATGCTGTTGAGACTTTTGATTCAAAGATGTTGTGATTGTCTCATGTGTGGTTGATTCTCTAAGGGTCGCAAACATGGGTGGTGAAGTTTGTGTTTATGTGACCCACTTAAACAGCTTGCTCCTTCAGATGCTCTAGATTCGACAAATTGGACAAGGAACCGGCCATTGGAGCTGTCAAGATAGATTACCGGACAACATGTAGAATTTAGAACTGTAAGTTTCTGGGCAATATTATAAGACGTATACTGGTGGCAACAAAACAGTGAGATTTTAGAAAAGGCTACTTCATTGAAGAATGGACAGCCGCCATTTGTCCTATCTCTTTGTTGTATGTGTAACGAGTTTGTCTATCACCTCTCCTCAGATGTAAGCTTGTGTAGGTTGCTGGAGCTATCTCAGATCAAAGCTAAAGGTGTAAAGGCTCATAGGGAGGTTTCAGGGTGGTGTGGATGCAATTGTGCACAAAGTGATCTAGAAAGAAATGAAGGAATGAATTACTCTTGGCTGTTTGCTCAATCACCTTGTCAGAAAGAAATAGGATGTTTTCTGGAAACTATGCATAGAAAATTGTGAGAAGCATTTGAAACTAAAAGCAACCTTTTTTTGTTTGGATTATACAAATGGCATTATCATTGACACTTGAAATTTCTTTATTGTTTTGATTTTCAAATATGAACATTGATTAAAAATCTAGGTTTAGTCAGAGTTCTGGTCAAAATTGAATTCAATTTTAATGTCATCAGCAAGACAAGTTGCTGAGTGGCATACCGCTTGCATGATGTGTGTGATGTTTCCAAGGGGAAGGAAGCGATATCTGATGGAAGAATAGCTTATTTCACACAGTGAATATGTGCATTATTACTGATACTTAAGGCTTATGGTTAGTTTGGAATCTGGATTATGGTAACTAGAATAAAGATGCCTTCATTTATACCAGAGAACGTGAAATCAACATGTTCTTTTCTTAATTCATCAAATGTCTATCAAATTCCCCAACTAGAAGAATGGTCCAAATGAGAAAAGAGTTCCATACTGCTGTGACCGTGATATTGTTAGTTTCACATAAGTATTCTGTCAGTCCTTTCTGCATTGTTTTCAAGTTGCTAAAGAATTGATAATCTTTGATGTCCTTGACAGTTCCTGGAAGAGTTAGAGTGGCTGTAAGACTTCGGCCTAGAAATGCAGAGGAAACAATAGCAGATGCAGATTTTGCTGACTGTGTTGAATTGCAGCCTGAGGTTCTTGACATATTCCTTTTGTTTTATATTGGACATCTATATAAGCTTGCTGAAAGTTTCATGTAACTGTGACTGCTTTTGTGTGCAAGCTTGAAGCTTACAGATAGTGTCATTTATTATTCTTATTTTTTGCTGGGTTGCAGCTTAAAAGGTTAAAGCTCCGCAAGAACAATTGGGAGTCAGAAACCTATGAATTTGATGAAGTGCTGACAGAATTTGCCTCACAAAAACGTGTATATGAAGTTGTTGCAAAACCAGTTGTGGAGGTACATATGATACACATCCCTAACACTTGATTTTTTCCAGTTTACTTCATGTTCACTACACCAGATCAATCTTAAACTTGGTTTCAAATTCTTGCCATGAATAATTAATTAGGTATAATTTCATAACTTTGTTTCCTTTATCTATGGAATCTTACCTTGCTCGTGTACCATGTACTAGACAGCATAGTTGGCATGGCTTGGACATGCAATTCTTGCCATACACTATGATCATTTATGATTTAGTTAGGAACTTAGGATAATAATTCTTGTTAGTAATGTACTTTTAGGGCTTGGTATTGCGTATGATTAGAGGTGATCAAATCTGTTAATATACTCATTATGCTACTTTTTCTTACATAATCTAGCTTTGCTGGTTGGTATTGCATTAGTCTTACATTTACAGACTGTATTTTACCAAGACACCTGCATTTTTCTCTCTTATGATAGATTTTCCAAGTTTTTGATGGAACCTACTTTGTCCATCCATCTGAACATTCCACTGCCCAAAGGCTGAGAAGAAAGGTTTTCATCTCCTTTAGACAGGAGAAAAGTACATGGAATGCTATACTCTCAGTTCAGATAATTTTTTGCTATTTCTTCTCCCACTAAACATGCATAGTCAAATTTCAGACTCTAAATCTGGTATTAAAATAACTTTTCCTAATTAAAATATCTCCATGAGTAGATCTTCCTAACAACATTGTCACCTTAGCTCTAGGTTGGCATCACAAGAAGCACTTGAAAGAGCCATAATTTGTTTTATGACCAGGATTTCTTTGTGCTTGATATAGGTTGTGGTAATAAAAGAAAATGCTAGGTATTTTGAAGCCTTTTCTATTTCTGGTGTTTAATACTTGAAACCTAGCTTGTTATTCTAATCTTACTCCATTAGATGGTTGGAGTCTACATATTTTTTATTTCAGGAAAATTTATATCAATTGCTTGCTACTTTTCACTAATTATATTGGGGCATTCTGATAAGTACATTTAATGTTGCATCATTTACAAGGAGTACATTTAATGTTTTACAGAATTTGTGTTCTTTTATATTCCTGGCACATATACTTAGGTTCTTAATTGGACATTTAGAACAATTGGGATATTTTCTTTTTTCTTTTTACTATTCAATCTAATTCCTTATAATATACAGCATTTTCCTTGCCTGTTGAGATATTCAATGGAAAACTTGGATAGTTGCTTTTGCATATCTTAAGTATTTCTGCTTTAAGGTCTGCTATAGTCACTGTTGTAGCTTGGTGAGTGTAGTTTGCTTGGCAAACACATATTTCCCAATGTTGCTTAGATATAGACAGATGAGATTCTTACTCTTGCTTGATGGATTAGCTGTATTCAATTTAGACTGCAATGACATCATCAATAGATGATTCTAGTGTCACTACTTTTTTAGGGCATTCTGATACTGCAGCTCATGATGAGAAATCATTTCTAATGTAGAGTGTTCTGGAAGGGTATAATGGTACAGTTATGGCCTATGGACAGACGGGTACTGGAAAGACTTATACTCTTGGAAGGCTTGGTGAGGAAGACACTGCAGCACGAGGCATTATGGTCCGTGCAATGGAAGACATTTTGGCAGATACATCTCCAGAGACCGATTCTGTTTCTGTATCATATTTACAGGTTCTTTTTTAGATAAAATAGTTATTGGTTTGCTACATGATTTTACTTATGGAAGTGAGAACCCTAAAAATAGTTAAAGCTTGATATGCAGCTTGTTCAGACTTCTAAATCCATTCATGAGACGACCTTGCATCAGAGGGCTAACATTTGTATTTATGGTTTGTTATAGTTATACATGGAAAGCATACAGGACCTTCTTGTTCCTGCAAATGACAACATTGCCATCATAGAAGATCCAAAGACAGGAGATGTTTCACTACCAGGGGCTACCAGTGTAGATATTAGAGATCAAAAAAGCTTTATGGAGCTCTTAAGATTAGGAGAAGTGCACCGTTTTGCTGCTAATACAAAGCTGAACACCGAGTCATCTCGGAGCCATGCTATTCTAATTGTGAGTGGATATTTTATATATTTGATAACTTCTAATGGTGGTAACTGAAACTTCAAGAATAACTATTGCTGCATCGTGCCAGGTCCATGTTAAGAGGTCACTTAAGGGAAGGCATGATGCAGATCATGGTTTTCCCAGTGAGAATGGTACTAATTCCACCTTGGTCAAATCTTTCAGACCGCCCATAGTTAGAAAAAGCAAACTTGTTGTTGTGGATCTTGCCGGTTCAGAGAGGATTGATAAGTCAGGTATAGATATCCTATAAATTTCTTGTGAAAATTTGTTCCTTATATTAAAAATCTCTTGCTTGCTGTTTGGCATATATCCTAGAATTTTATGTTTCCCCAGCAACACCACATTTGTTAATGACAGTATGCTTGACCGATGCAAATGCTCGGCATGGTCGAACATAGTGATGGTTACGTAAAGAAGCTAAAATGCAGGAATACAAAGTAAAAAAGATGCATTCCATAAGTTCTAAGTTTCTTGAATGTTAATCTAGTTAGATCTATCATTCCATAACTTTATGAATTTAAATATAAGATATTTATTGGTGTATCATTGTTGGTAAGTAATAAAAAGAAGTGAGACGGAAAGAAAGTTGAAAAAGGGAATTTCACTAGCCATTGATCTTCTGGTTGTGGCAGTCAGGAGAATTTGCTTGTTGGAGAAGACCCATGTGGTCTTCAACAACGAGGAGAATGAGAAGGCAGCTAGGGAGAGTGATTGAACAGCTATCCAGCTAAATCGGAGGTGATGTGATCACTTTTTTCTATTTGACAAACTCTGTTGCATAAAATAAAAACAATTAGGTGATATGGGTGTAGTATGACAATATGAAAGCAAAACAATTAGGTGAAATGGGTATCTCATGGCAAGAGTGAAAATGTATAGAAGATACACATGTTCTCAATATAGTTGTCTCACTACTATGATTTAGAACATTTTGAAATAATTGGATATTTGCAAATATATTGAACATCATCAGTTTGCCAACAATGTATATTGATATTGCTTTAAAAGTTTTCACAGTTTGCAAAATCCGGCACACATAACAAAGAGAAGATTCACCACTTTATTTGACTGAGGTGCTGGAAGTTTACATGGTCCTTTAAGTTTCTGTACAGCACTAAATGATTTTTAGGACAATGTATTATTCCATGTATGCTGAGGTTCATTTGCTTGTTAACATGTGATATAAATAGTTACCATCCTGGATGTATGTTTTTGTGTTTGTTACAATGATGATGGGCACACATGTCACATATCCATTCATATTTTTATTTTGTTACTTGTATCAGATATAGTCAGAAGAAATTGAATAAAATTTCAGTGTAATTTTTACATAACCAGCCTGGTTCTCTATTCCTGTAACTAATTGGAGTGTTTGGTCAGAACCAAAGGACATATGCACTTCCATGTGATGGATATTCTATATCATGACTGATGCTTTTTTTGGTGCCAACATTGTTCACAGGAAGTGAGGGGCATACTCTAGAAGAAGCAAAGTCGATTAATCTATCATTAAGTGCTTTAGGCAAATGCATTAATGCACTTGCTGAAAATAGTCCACATGTTCCAGTTCGTGATTCAAAGTTGACAAGACTGCTTCGAGATTCATTTGGAGGTAAGATTTAACAGCTTTCTGGGACATACCAGTTAAAGTATATAACTGAAGTGTTGCCCTTTTCCATATCATATGATCATAATTTTTCATTTTTTGTGGTATCCTTTCTCGTCAACCTTACAAATGATTGATTGAGCCATGTGTGGAAGATTGGGTTTTGAGAGTATTGTATAGCTGAAGCACCAATAGATAATCCCTGAACACATGATGCCCAACACAAGTATTTAGTGATTCTTGAAACTTGAAGTCCATTACTATTTGCTTCTGACTTCCAATTGCTTCGATTGTATTATACTCTTGTTCATTAATAGTACAAGTCTGGTTGAAAACCTGATTTTAGAAAGCTGAAAATTTGAATTTTGATTAAATTGTAACTTGATTGTAAGGATTTTCTATGACGACTAACTGAAGTTTGTATATTGTTATTGAAGTAACTCCGTTTATCCTTTTTTAGTAACATATAAAAATCTTACAGGAAGTGCAAGAACTTCGTTAGTGGTGACTATTGGTCCATCTCCTCGCCATAGAGGAGAAACTGCAAGCACCATAATGTTTGGACAAAGAGTAAGGTTCTCAAATCATTTTGCTGTTGCTTTGCCTCAAAAAACTTATTTTAAATCTTTGTTCGATAAATATTACATTCAGAAACACCGATTACCAGTGGTTCTGCTATATAGATTATTTTTTGTCCTAAGAAGCAATTTTTTGCTGGATTTGTGTCCGTTGTAGGCAATGAAGGTGGAGAACATGGTGAAACTAAAGGAAGAATTTGATTATAAAAGCTTGTGCAGGAGGCTTGATATTGAGCTTGATAAGTTAATGGCAGAGAATGAAAGGCAAAGAAAAGATTTTGAAGATGAGATTGAGAGAATAAGGACAGAAGCTGACAGCCGAGTTGCTGAAGTTGAAAAAGGCTACAATAACACTCTTGAGGTGTGCTTTTAGATTTATCAGTCAACCCACTGATAGGCAAGTCCTTTATGACATTAACTTAAAATCAGTTGCCTTTAAAGTGGCATTTCCTGTTGTGCTGTAAACTTTTTCTTTTGTCCCTTTGTTATCCTCTAACGAAGGTGATAATAAACAGGAAACAAAATTTAACTAGTAAATTGTAGCGCCTGGACACTAATTGTGAATTTCAATCTAATATTTAGGTCAATCACATGAAGCTTTAAATCTCAATGTTGCACATCACCGATGGTCACATTTGTCAGCTTGTCACAGTTACAAGCTTGCTATTGGATTCACTATTTGTGATGGTTGTTTTTGATGTAATCATCAGTTACTAAAATTTGACTTCAGACAACACCCAGCCACATGTAACAATCAGGTAAGGTATTGTGTACATTTGGAATTTGGCAATATTGACCTCACATTAACCATATGAAAATTTGTAAGCACAAAAAATTCCATATATGGCTTCACTCAGCAATATTGTCCTGTATCTTCGAGAAGAGCCTTTATTTTAAAGATTTTCATCAAGGTCAAAGAGTTGCAATAAATCCAAATCCTAAAGCAACCTAGTTTTTTAACCCACTCAAAAACCTCCTTGAAGATCCATGTCTCAGCAGCTGAGGGAGAAGTTCCTGTCATGGACACTTGTTCCAGCAATGTGAGGATTAGAACTGCAGATTGCAAAATCACATTCATCTTCAGAATAGAGTCCGTCCTGTAATCAATCAAAGGGTTCAACTCCCACTTTATCCAAGTGAGATGTGTGATCATTGCTAGGATTATTAAAGGTCTGATTAGTTTAATTGGAAACAGCAGCTACCATTTGTAGTTACAATATGTGAACTCTTACCAGGTTTTATATATTAATTGATAGTACAATCCTTGAAAATTATCTGGACTAATTGCTGGCTCCAGTTTTAGCCTCATTCTTTAACTTGGTGTGGCCTTAAAACTGTCTTATTGACTAGTGAGTCATTCTTCGTTTTTCACTTTTTTCTTATGTAGAATGAGAGGCTAAAGTACCAACAAGACAATATGGACTCAATCAAGAAGGTTGAGGAGAAGTGGATGGCTAATGTGAATAGAGCCAGAGTAGAACATCAGAGTGCGTGTCTAGAAAAGGCATGTAACAGCAAGGGATATACTAATTTGAATTTCTATCACATTCTTATGCAACAATTTCAGATACTGTTGTCTTTGTTATTGGCCTCTGTAATAATTGATTATTGTATACTGTGTGGTAAAAGCTTGGTTAAAGCATATGTAGAATACAAGAAATGCAATTAGTTTGGGGATCAATTAGGAGAATTCATGGTTGACTTGGTAAAAATAAAAATAAATTATCCAGGCTCCATTCAGAAAATACCAAATTGGTAACTCATGTAATGTACAAGTACCACTTGTATCATAAACAATTATTATCCATATTATAGGAGTGATTTCAGATGTCCAACCAATAACCAATGGAATAGTATGATGAATACATTGACTGGTTTGGGAAAGGCATGGAATGAATTGAAAAAAAGAAGAAGATGATAGCACAATTTTGTTGGCCAAATTCTTTGTTTACAAGTTTTAAAAAAATGACAGCCTTGTGATATCATAGTCATACTCTACAATAGAGCTGTTTCTAGTTACTGCATTAACTTATAGTAGATGTTTACTTGTTGGTCAGGATTACTTCATTGGTGAAAATTACCTGTCATATTTGAATTAACAAATGGCTGACAGGCCAAGAAGCTATGATGATTAATGTTATATTTGCGGAGGGTTACTTGGTCTTTCTTTCTTTTTCCTCTAATATTGTTGGAACCATCCCTGACCAAGTCAGCTATACTTCCTCTTGCTCTATGGCTCATATGATATGAATTAACTCATGTCTATTTGCTGGTGCTTTTAATGATTTTTTTAACACTACTCATTCAGCCTCTTGTTCTAATTTGAGTTGCTTGAAGGAACTTGAAAGTAGTCATTCCTTGCTCTCTCTTTCCTTCTAATACTAGTTAATCTCAATTTTCCTCATCTTTGTACTGCAGTGACTTTTGTAGGTGTAGGCTCCTAATTCAACACTCTGACCAATTTGCATGATTGGTGTTGTAGTTGCCACATAAATTCTGCCTTGACCTTAATGACAATTGGTTAAGATTTTTTTTGTTGAAACACATTATCTTTGCTTTTGCCTTCTTTATTATATTGTTTATGAGTCTTTACCTATAATTAATTTATGGTGCATAGGCTCCAACAACATCCAGCTCAGCTGATATTGTCGAAGTCAGACAGTTACTCGAGAATGAAAAGATATTGCGACAATCTACAGAAGAGGTGGTTATGAACCTCAAATGTGAAATATCACACTGGAAAAGATTAGAGGTATGGTTCCTCTTGATATGATTCTTCAGACCTTTCAGTTTCTGATATCTGAACAAATAGTCTTCTGCATGTTTTGCACTTTGTTGGTGTTAGGCAGCTGGCAATTCTGAAATTGTGAAACTTCGCAAGATGCTGGACAGTGAAGCCAATCAGAAACATAAACTTGAAGAAGAAATAGCAATACTGAGAAGTCAGTTGTTGCAGTTAAGTTTTCAAGCCGATGAGGTAGGTGGTTATAAATTAATTTGTTTGCACCATTCAAGTCGATCAACTGAGTTGTTGCATAGACAACTAAAATTCTTGAATGTCCTGATTATAATTATACTGTTATTCTGTCTTCTGATCCATCATGGCATGTGTCACTCTGTAATTGTTGACATAGGGTACTGAATACATCCTAAATGTTTGGTTATGTCGAGACAGATGTCTGTTGACTGATTGCCAGCATGTCAACCATCTTTTCTCTGTGCTAACAACTTGACTGCTTTCATTTGACAATCATCAATACATTCACACCAGATTTCTTTTTCTTAGAATTTTATATACCAGGATGTCTGCAATTCCATTTGACATGAGAACTTCTTTTTTATTATGTTCTTGTTTAATCCAGCTTTTGCTAAGCACTGTTCTCGTATTTTCATTTATTTGAATCAGACAAGTAGGAGTCTTGACAGAGGTGAGTCTGGAAAAGCCTTAACTGGATTTGATTCCCTTGTACCACAAGCTAGGCATCCCCAGCTTAGAGATTCAGCAAATGGACCGAAGGCCTCAATTGCTAAACTTTTTGAACAAGGTACTTGTCATTGGCTAATAGTTTTTAATATGGTTGGGTTTGTTGATTTTCTAAATTGGTTGTTCCATATGGCAGTGGGTTTGCAAAAAATATTGTCATTGCTTGAATCAGAAGATCATGATGTTCGAGTTCATGCAGTGAAAGTTGTAGCAAACCTGGCAGCCGAAGGTGAACATTAATTTAGGAATCTTTCATAATTTATTCTGCAGTTGTTTTATTATATTAATTGTCCTATTTCTCCTTTTTGGCATCTTTAAACTGCTTTTCTACAAATTAACATGTAGCTGAGTTGAACTTACATAAAAAGGCTCTGCGGTATATGCCCATGGACTGCAATATGCCATGGTCCCAAGTTGTAGATCTGCGGGGTAGATTGGAATCAGCCAAAAAAAGTAAAAGAAAATGGAAGGAGAAAAAGAAAAAAAACTATCACATATCTTGCCTGGAATTTCGTTTTTCTTCCTCTACGATTCTTCCCATCTCTCTCACATGTTATGTGGCTTGAATGACATTTGGAGCCTTAATCATATAGCTTCTATCAATATTAATCAATTATGACCTAAGAAATACTTGGAAAAGCGTTTAGTTTAGAATTTGAATCGCTTGGAGAGCAAGATGTGGTTTCGAAGCGCGAGGTATGAAGTGCAATGATTCTTGGGGAAAAAGAATCCAATCGGGGAATGGAATGGGAAAGGATGAGTGCTTTACAATTTACAAGCACAACTGAAAAAATGGGTGAAATGCATCTTCATTTTGAACGACTTAACCTTTTAGTTGGTGGTTTCCTTCCGTAACCTAGTGTCTTTGCTGTCACTTAACACTTAATTAGCTATGTGGATCTTTCTTTTATGATCTTAAGTAATTGTTTTCTTTGTGTATTTTTTCTTTTATTAATAATGTATCATCTTATAATCAGAAGCAAACCAGGATAAGATTGTAGAAGCTGGTGGTCTTACGTCATTGCTGATGCTTCTAAGAAACTCAGAGGATGAGACTATACGTAGAGTAGCAGCTGGTGCAATTGCCAACCTTGCGATGAATGGTATGTGTATGATGATTAATATGCTGGCAGTGTTTTCTTATGACTGAAACCTTGAATTAAGATCTCCTACTCGGTCAACGTTTTTTACTTCCTCACATGATTGTGGCTACTCCATAATACTTTTGTCATTGCAGAAACCAACCAAGAGCTCATAATGGCTCAAGGTGGCATTGTCTTGTTATCTATGACTGCTGCTGATGCTGAGGACCCTCAAACACTTCGAATGGTTGCTGGAGCCATTGCTAATCTATGTGGAAACGGTGACACCTTTAACTTCCTTTCAATCTTTAGTCAAGCTGCTAATGCTACTTATATAAATGTTATTGACCACATGATAATTTGGAATTTGAAGCTTGTTATTGTAACTGCATAGAAAGGACGCATAACTAGGCTGTCTTTGTGCATATATTTGATCAAGAATTCCACTTTGTGATATTTTGTTCTTTCAACTTTCTGGAGCAATTGTTCCCACACTGTGAAGTAACTATCTTATTGATGGGGTGGACTTGTGACCGTGTTAAAGTATTTATTGTGTCATGATCAATATAGTATCATAAAAATATATGCATATCTGTCTTCAAGAAGCAGCTTACAGTTTCAACTATAGGAGCATATATAAATAATAAATATATCAAATGGTACATATAAAGGTCCCCAAACTTATTACTGTGATCTTCTAAGTTTTCCCATAGGGATGTGTCATTGTGTTCTTGGATATACAATCTTCTGTACTTGTATCTATTTCCTACTTAGAACATCTATATTCTAAGGTTTTCTCCATTCAGAATAACAAGAACAAGCATTACTAATTAGGTCAAAGGATGATATCATATCAATTCCCAATATGACTGCTTAAGATTGACCAATTTTTCTGTTTACACGGAATTTTGGTTTCTGACATGCTTTTGCTGCTATAATTATATGATTATCCCAATGTAGCTCAGAAAGGTTAAATTTAATTTTCTGACCTCATGTTACCAGGTAGATTCATGTTACCCTATAGTGTATGTATAATGACGTGAAATTCATCTGTAACTGAAGTAAATATGATCTGATACCATACATGAGTCTTCGTAGCATAGGTCTTGGCTGTGCAGATATGGTTGATTTTCTCTGGGTAATTTTTCATATGGACTATTTTCAACATCACCCAAATCTTGCTTACAACAATCTGTTATGTAAAATGAACTATTTATGGTACTTTTTCACTGCTAATCATTAATCATATGATAACCTGATGACCTACCCATGCATTGTCTTCCGAGATTGTTGAGGCTCTGACTGTTTCCTACAGATAAGCTACAGATGAAGCTTAGTGTAGAAGGTGGCATTAAAGCCTTGCTAGGTATGGTTAGGTGTGGGCACCCTGATGTTCTCGCACAAGTTGCACGTGGCATTGCAAACTTTGCAAAATGTGAGTCACGAGCTTCTACTCAAGGTACAGATATTCTTGCTCTACTTGTTTAAATGATACCTTGTTCCTTTTATATTGATGTAATTTTTTTATTTAATTTGAAAGGTTATTATTAGGTGATCTTTATCTTTACTCTTGTTAATATGTAGTGTTTACATTGGTCATAGATCAACGATGAGCGAATTGTTTATTTACATTAACATGTTGTTTAAATCAGTTGGATGATCAAAAGCCATCCCTTTTTAATTAATTAGTTGTGGCAGTATCAAATATTATTTATTGTCTGTTAGCATATGGTCATGTACCAAAGTGTACCACTTTTGATATGGCCTTTAATTTATTGGAAGTTTTAGTAAGTGCCTTCGGCCTCAGATAAGCTTGGAGCATAAACTTGCTGGTTATTTCAGTGTAAAGCAATTAGTCACACTTTGCTTTGCTGCAGGAAATAAGGTGGGTGTATCTCTCTTAATTGAAGATGGAGCTCTTCCATGGATTGTAAAAAATGCCAACCATGATGCTTCACCTATAAGACGCCACATTGAGCTTGCACTGTGCCACTTGGCACAACATGGTAATTTTACTTAATATCCTCAATGTAGTGACTGAAATCTTAGCATCTCTTTTTCCTGATATTATGAACTATTATTTGCAGAAGTCAATGCAAAAGATATGATCAGTGAGGGAGCTTTGTGGGAACTGGTTCGCATCTCACGTGATTGTTCACGAGAGGATATTAGAATGCTGGCACACAGAACTCTGATCTCAAGTGCTACTCTCCGGACAGAATTGAGACGATTGCACATTGAATTTTAAGATGCTAAAAGTAGCCTGCCATCTGCACAGTATCTTGGCTTAGGTGTATCTGGTTGTTTGTGAGCTTCATATCTCAGAGCGTTTGTAAAAGAAGATAACAAAGGTTTGCCTAGCATCTGCTTAGTACAAAACCAGTGGCTCATGGAAGTAACTATCATCCTTCAGCCAAAAGAGGTCAAGTTTTTCCTGCCATTGGTCAGTGTCTGTTCAAACTGGTTATGACTTGAGACCCTAAATTCGGATCTGCCCACACTGCAAATGTATTTGTGGAAGGTAAATAGTGTGTAGAAAATAACTGAGGTGGTTTGAGTTAAAGACAACTCTGGACGAGCTATACTCGATCCACCATTCACCTGTATTAATTGATAATTAACCTGTTCACTTGAGATTTTGACACAGTTTGTGTTCATACTTTATCAGTCCAATATTGAAACACATTCGATGATCGACAGAAATGAAAAGCCATCGTATGTTGGAACATCTTTAGTATTGGAACCGTGCTTTGTTGTCTTCTGCTCGGTGTTCAAGATCTTTTATGATTCACTTGTGTATAATGCTAACTAAACTGGTGCATTGCATGACAGGTACTGTGTGATCAAGACACTACCAAGCTGTGGTCAATGAGGTCAAGAAAATCTATACAAGGTATATGCTCCTTTGACTTTGCAAAACCAATGTAATTGTCTGTTAGTCGGGCATCAACTCCCAACAAAGTGCCCACGGATATTCCAATCGGTAACTAATATTCTGTGGTAGGATTATGGGAGGCATTGACAGATCACACAGACAGGAGAATTCATTCAATATGATATTACAGGTTCAAACTGCAACATGTATGTTGGAATGCCTTTAGGTTTTCTCTCACTTTATAATTTTGGATGGTTTATTATTGGCAGGAAGATTTTCAAGTTTTCTTGTTGCATTTTAAAGCTGTAAGGGCTAAAAATTGGATGATAAAACTCTGCCTTCAAGTATATTTGTGACAAATCTAAACTCTCTGTTTCTGAAGTAGCTGCAGGAGCAATTGTTTGATATTTCCGTTTATTTAATTAATAGTTCGACCAACAGTATATAGAATTAGGTGGTAAGAGATATGTCCTGCTCTGTTTAGATGTAAAAAAAAGGCAGGAACTTGGCATCAGAAATTTATTATGTAGTTCCACTGATTCCTGCTCTCGATTTACTTGTATCGTCTTTTTGAAACAAAGCCTATGTGACTTCCGATGACAAGCAACCTGCCACCTTTTTATGAGAGCTTACCCAACTTTCTCTCACTCTATCCAGTTTGCTCATGCTTGCTACTACCAGCCATCACATCTCACTCTTCGGTCCACTGCTCTGTTGCCGGAAAGCTGAAAAGGAGATCTACAGCTGGTAGCTGCTTGATTGGAAAGCAGCAGCAAATCCTGAGAACAAAGGCTTACTAGATTTGGTTGGGCAAAAAGACCTTCCTTCCGATGTAAGAATGCAAAAATGGTCCTAAAGGCTTGTTTGTTTATCTTTGCAGGTACAGATCATGGAAGTATCAAAGCTTTTGGAGGTGCATGGATTTGGCTTCATGCTTTTGCTCAAAGTTATCTTATGGTAGTGTTTTCCTGCTGTCTTAAAATCTTTAGAATGGTGCAGATTTTAAAGCTTCTCAAAATCTCATTAGTATACTGTACTTCTGTGGCGACCTCGGAGATCTCTTGATGGATCATATGTCCATTGTTGCCATCCACAAGACCCAACTACGTACAGCAGCAGCAGCAAACAGTATGGCACTGTTTCCCACTCATCGATGGCGGGCACCCATCCAAGAGGTGTGGCCGTCCCCTTTCGGTACCACGAAGCACAGATTACTCGCACAACCCGCATGAGAACATTTAATTTGCTGCTGCTTGGAGTTGTCATCTTTGGAAAGCTCATGACATGAGAACTTTCGCTGCTCTGGAGAGACAGAAATGATGACTGAGGAGGCCTCTGTTTTACCTTCCGTCACAGGACTTCAATGCCCACGGTTCACCCTGTACATTGCCAATATGACTTGTGTCAGTCCTATAGCATTGACATCAGGTCAAGAACAACTGCAGAATACAACAGTACTCTCTCTCTCTCTCTCTCTCTCTCTCTCTCTCCCTAACTTAATTGAGCCGACAAGGAAATGCTTTTCTGATGACCTTAGAGACATCCCCATTACTGGAAACTGGGTCCAGGGCTCATGGAGCTCGCGTGCCCCTGCAACTCCTTTGGGGAGCATCAGCTCCTGTTGCTAAGGGTTGTGCTGCGCCCAAGCGCAGAAGAAAGGGGAGAGCCGTGTGACCCCACCTATCTGAATCATGGCGCCGAATGAGATCTGTTGCATTCAGTATATTGTATTGCTTCTCATTTTGGTGTCGTGTGTCCACTGCTGACTCTGATATACATCCACGTTGGCAAGATGTACGTCCGCATGCCTACCTGTAACCTACGTGGACGCCATGTGGTCTGCGCTCCATGAGACGTCAACTCCTCCCACGACACAACCTCACTGATCATGCCCTGCTATTATAATTCTCCCTCCATGTTTGCCACACCATGTAAGCATTTGACAGAGAGGTGATGGAGTGTGTAAAAAGTATCCGACAATGGTTGATCTTGCTGTTAACATGTCGGCATCCGGTCGTGCAGCAGTGCAGCGACTTCGTGGAGTTCCATCACTCGCCAACTACGCTGCGCGTGCCTCTTCTCTAATTCCACCGAAACCCGATTCATCTACCTTGCTTGTGATTGGTGAGAGTCATGGACCCCATGTAGCGACTCTAAACTACTATATCCATAGCTCTTCCTTCACATCAAAAGTATTAGTAATTGACGGGTCGACCGGGTTTTGTTTGGCCGTATCTGAACGATTAGTCACTAATTAAGAGCTCATCAAGCAACCCAATCGCATGGAAACGGCAGTAACGACGACCAAACGGCAGAAGCGTGGCCGTTTCAGTAATGCCACGGGCGGCACGGAGCGAGGCGGTCGGACCGGCTGGTGTCGGCTTACGCTGAACCGGGACAAGCCCACGTGGTGGCACGTGAGCGCTCTCTGCCTTCGCCCCAAAGCGAAGCAAAGGTAAAGGGCGAGGACACGTCCACGTGTCAGCCGCGGTGGGGCCGGCGTGAGCTGGTTCGACCCCGGTCGGAGGTTTAAGGATTAGCTGTCGGTCTGGTCCACACCACGTGACCTCTCCGGCCCGGTTTTCCCTTTGGTTCGGGTTCTCGGGGGGCTCTTAAGCGGCGAAGCCACTGGGGCGGCGGGCGATCCGTTGCACCGTGGGAGGGAAGTGCGAGAGAGTGGAGACAAAAAGAGGCGCTTCGATTCGGACAACGGCGGATCCTTCGGACGCTTTCCCTCGTCTCTTGTGCCTTGTCGTGCCCGTCCTCTCGCTGGGATAAAGCCGCGAGAGAGGGATAGGGAGAGAACAGAAGGGTGAGAAGGAGAAGCGGAGGTTGGCTTCTCCTCTGCGGCGAAGGAAGCAGTCATGGAGTGGACGACGTGCTTGAACGAGTACGAGAAGCTCGTCATCAAGATGGACACCCCAAGGTACCTTGTGTCGATCTCATACGCTTCTTTGTTATCTCGTTGATGAGAGACTGATGGTCATCTTGTCTGTAGGGTCGTCATCGACAACGCCGTCTGCGCCACCGCGACTCTCGTCAAGGTGAGCTGTCGTCTCAAGTTCTCATTCGTGCAATCCAAGAGTTGCTTCTTTAATGGTCTTTAATGGAGATCCACCGACGACAGGTGGATAGCGCGTCGAGGAAGCACGGCGTTCTTCTGGAAGCCATCCAGGTCCTCACCGACCTCAACCTCTCCGTCAAGAAGGCCTACATCTCCTCCGACGGCCGCTGGTTCATGGACGTCTTCCACGTCACCGACCAGTTTGGCCACAAGCTCACCGACGACAGCGTCATCTCCTACCTCGAGCAGGTTCGAAGCTTCTCCCTTCCTCGCTTCGAGAGAAAGAGAGCGGCTAAGAAAAATTCGGATCTTTCCGGCTTATATTTGCAGTCTTTGGCGACGGGGAACCCGGAAATCGGCACGTCGCATGTCCGCGAAGGGCTCACGGCCATGGAACTGATGGGGACCGACCGCCCAGGCCTGCTCTCCGAGGTCTTCGCCGTGCTCGCGGACCTCCGATGCGGCGTGGTGGAGGCCACGGTGTGGACGCACAACGGCCGCATCGCGTGCCTCCTCTTCGTCAAGGACGATCTCTCCGGCTCGACCGTCGAGGACGCCCACAGGATCCGCCGCATCGAGTCCCGCCTCCGCCAAGTCCTCAAGAGCGACCACGACGTCCGAGGAGCCAAGGCCGTGGTCGCCACCACGTCCGTCACCCACCCTGACCGCCGCCTCCACCAACTGATGCTCGCCGACCGCTACCACGGGCACACCTCTCCGTCATCCTCCGTCTCCGTCCAGAACTGCGTCGAGCGGCGCTACTCCGTCGTCAGCGTGCAGTGTCGTGACCGGCCGAAGCTTCTGTTCGACGTCGTGTGCACGCTGACGGAAATGGAGTACGTAGTGTTCCACGGCACCGTCGACACCGACGGAGATTTAGCTCATCAGGTTCGATCTTTCCTCGCGTTAAATGGGATGAAATCTTCCGTCTTTGCGATTCTTTCAGCTCTAATCTCTCATTCTCATCTCTTCAGGAGTTCTACGTAAGGCACAACGATGGAACCCCCATCAGCTCGGAAGCAGAGAAGCAGCGAGTGATCCAAAGCCTGAAAGCAGCCATCGAGAGGAGAACATCCGAGGTAAATAACCCAACAATCTGCAGTAATCCACTTCCTCCCAAAGGATTAAAGATTCAGAGTCGGTGCTCGACGATGAACAGGGCACAAGACTGGAGCTTTACATGGAGGACCGGCCGGGGCTCCTCTCCGACGTGACCCGGACGTTCCGAGAGAACGGGCTTCTGGTGACGAGAGCAGAGGTGGCGACGAAAGCCGGCATGGCGTCGAACGTGTTCTACGTGAGTGACGCCGGCGGGGAAACGGCGGACCCCAAGGCCATCGAAGCCGTCCGGCGGCGGATTGGCCTGGAGCGCCTCATGGTGAAGGAGGAGCAACGCCCAAGGTTCCAATCCAAGGAGTCAGCTGACGGTGACGAGGCACAGAGTGGCGTGGGCATCGGACTGTTCTACTTAGGTAGTTTAGTGAAGAGAAATCTGTACAATCTGGGGTTGATCAAGTCATGTTCTTAGCTTCCTCGTCTTCCTCTGCTTCTGTGTCTGATGGGCCACCACTGCATGACAGAAGGTGGGGGAGAGGGAGTGAGACAACGGAGAGCACAGCAACGGGGCCGTGCATTGTGACAGAGAGGAGAGCAGAGAGATGGTGATGGTGTTGTTGTTGTTGTTGTTGTTGTTGCTGCTGCTGTTTGTTATGGTTTATGGTTTATTGCACACACATCTTTTACATGCTGTGTGCATTGATGGTTAGTGCTGATGTTTGACAACATTCGAGAGTTCGATTAGCTTTCTTCCTCCTTTGGAAAGCTGATTGTTATAGTTTTCTTGATATTAATTAAATTTTCTATTAGCATCGATTTGGATTGTCAATTCCAGATTAATAAAATTGAATCAATATAAATTTTTTTTTCTAAAGAATATATAAAGTTTAACTCCTAAAAAGAGTTCGATTGTTGAATCTTGCGGTAAAAGTTCTCTGATATTTAAGTCAATATTTATTTAGGATTCGGAGATTCGAAGGAATTCTTATAGAAGATTAAAGAATATTTCCTTTAGATCGTTGTGATATGGTACATCTATTTGACATATTATCATTTCTTAGTCGATAAATGTCATCTTAATTGCCTCAATATTACGTTTTGAAGTAAGACCTTATCTGTACTCGAGTGCAATGGCCGTCTTTGAACCTCAAGCGCTTTGTCCAATTAGAAATTTTTGTTATGATCATATGCATCGAGCTAAGGAAATGCTTTACCCAGTTGGAGTGTATCAGATATTTTAGATTTCTTATCTCTTGGGCAGATGCATCATCATGTATAAGGAGAAGCAAATGCTTTGCTTCTTATGATACATTCGATGTGTTATGAATGTTTATCTATTGGACGAATGCATGAGACGTAGGGAGATATTTTGCTCTATTGGACGAATGCATTGATTTCTCTGCATATATTATGTCTTAGGAGGATGTATCAGTTCTAAATGTTTTATATCAACATATCATATGCTTTGATCCTAACAGATATATGGATTTACTTACTCGATTATGATACATGCGGGTATTGTAAATGCTTTTTGTCTTGAATAGATACTGATATTATTATTATTATTATTATTATTATTATTATTATTATGTGTAGATGTATTAGAGGAAGATAATCGATCGATCGACACATAAAGCATAGTTAAATCCTTTTCTTTTTAGTAGATGCATCGAGTATTAAGATTATAATATGATTTTCTAATACTTATCATTTAATCTTATTCAAACAATCATGAAGATGATAAATTTTTTAGATAATATATGATTTGATGAATATTTATAATTTAACTATATTAATAAAATTTAACGTAAGGTATCCTCGATATATGTAAAGTTGACGATGGCATAGGGTCAAATATTGATATGATCGACCTATTATTTCTCGTAATCAAGGGAATGAAAATTCAAAAAAAAATTGATGGTCAAAAAATCTTATAAACTTATATTTGACGAGACTCGATCGATGAATTAGATAATAAATAAAAAAAAGGAGACTAAGGAGATTTCAAAGATTCAATGACTTGAGATTTATAATTTTTTTGAGAGATTGTCAATCAGTGTGTCAACAAATTTTTTTTTTCTTTAGATATCATGTTGATATAATACAATTATTTCATTTCTTTTGGCTATCAACTATTTCATTTTTTTTCACTTTAAAAGAAAAAGGTTTTTCTTTTGGGAACATTTTTGATGATATTTCTCACCATTTGTCTGCTCTGCTAGGGTTTCAGCTGGAGTTTGCAGCAGAATCTATGTACTTCCAATGTGATACTTGTTGGCATTTGATGCTTCCATTAATTGTGCCACCGGAGACCCCCCAGGAAGACATCAACCTTACCCTTTTCTTTGATCCAGGACAAAAAGGAATCCTCAGCTCTTGTGGCAACAGCATCTACCATCTGATTGGTTGATTTGATCTTGGTAGGACATTACATCCCCAAATGCTCATTTGATCTGCTTGTCATCACCTCCTCTTTCTGCCCCACTCCCAGAAGTGGCCGCCGCTGTTCATGTTACAGCATTGGTCGGCGAACAAAATGGCTGCTGCCGCACCCAAACCCGTTGACCTCTCCTCATCACTGTCGTCTTACTCCTCTCCACGTTGTTTCTTTGCTCTGCCCAACACAAACGTAGCAGCACATGAAGACAAGCTAATTGCATCTACTTGCACGCATGAGCAGCGCCGGCGTCTCCATTGCATGGACTGACGTGCCGCGAGCCCCGCCGGCCGCTGTGTTGTTCTTCGTCCGCACTCGCCCTCTTTCTCTCTCTCTCGCCTTTTGATGCCCACCCACCATCTTTTCGCTGCTGCTCCGCGCTAAACGATGCGGCTCGTTTGAGCTCGGCCGAGCTTTCACTCCAAGCCGGGTTTAGAGCACCGTGTGGTAATCATGCTCGAGGCACATGCGTTCCCCTCGAGGAGCTCACCATCTATCTCTTCAACCACTAGTTTATGTTTCCTGTGCGGGTTGGTAGGCACACATCAAGTAGCAGTAGATTAGTGATAGATCATGTCATATATGTTGGGGAATAGAACAAAGTGTCCTCGCATGCATGCAACTACTTAGAAAGTACCGGAAATGTGCCTTTGAATCTGATTCCACCTCCCATGAGGAGGGAGAGATGTTGCCATGCAAGTGTTTCCTTAAAGCATGCTTTGGATACTCAAGAAGAAGTGTTCCTTAAAGGTGTCTTTTCGAAGGTGGAAGAACAAAAGCCAGATCATCCATCTATCTCCCTCCACGGAGTAGGAATCTTCCCGGGCAGCTTCTTGGATTCATTCTCCATCAGCCAGCATGAAGCCTAATGCTCTAACATGCATGCAGATGCAGCCTTTTTGTCGTGAAGGTTGTCCTCAGTCCATGGTTGCTACTGACCGAGAACATATAGATTCCAGTACTAATCGTGGCATTCGAGGATAATATCGTTGCCATGCTCAGAGACAGATTACAGTCACAAACATGTTCTCCCAAGTAGCTGACGATCCAAGTGGAAGACAACATACCATTGATGTCGTACAAGATTTATCATGGATGCTTCAGTTTTTGACTCGATCTAACTAAATATGGTCAACCGAGCTGTCAATTCCTTGTGCTATAGTCAAAACTGACTCGTTCTTTGCTCATGGAATCACTGTCGTACAGACACTTTCCATGCAACGCTTGTCGTCTGCTACTTATGAGAAGTCGAATCTCTCTCTCTCTCTCTCTCTCTCCCCATCAAATGAATCTGTCTGTCTGTCCATCTCAATCCTCCATCAACAGTAAGTTACAGTCAAAAGGAAGAGCAGAAGAAGAAACCTCGCTTGCTGTGTTGTATGAGACGGAGATCTCTCTCTCTCTCTCTGTGAAAACATTGTTTAGTCATGGCCTGCTCTCCTCCTTTTGACCACCGACCAGCTCGTCGAAGACCACCCCCAGCTTTCCCAACCTCGCTTTGGCTCGCCCAAAACCTTTCTTCCATCGACGGCGATTTAAGATCAACTTCTTTTGACCGAATAAATGATATCAACGCGAACACAAATATCAAAGACCATTTAACGTTTATATCCATAAATCTCCACCTAAAGGAAAACGCTCGGATCAGTGGCATCGATGTGAATCTTCTGAACGACAATGGCATTTCGGTACGATGATATTAAAATCGGATAACGACAAAAGAAGCAGGTCGCTGGTGAGTGACAGCGGAGTCTCCGACGGTCGCCTCGCAGCTTTAATACAATAAATTAAACCCCATAAATATAAAAAAAGCAATTTCCTATTCCAATTATACCCTTATCTTTCCTTTAAATACGATACCATTTTTATCTACTTAATTATTCTTTCCATATTTTATCACCATCGTCATCATTATTTTTCTTGCACTACATTTATAATAATGGTGTAATAATATTAATATTAATTCCGGCCTTTCTCTTTCCCATTTCTTGCACTGTTCTGTGTTCGTCTTCTCTCTGGTGAGGACGGCCGCGGCGGAGTCGGCAGCAGTCTCCTGGACGAGAAGAAATAAGGCCGGGAAGAATTGCTAGGAGAAAACGTTTCGAGATTTTTTTTTGTTTTTTGTTTTTGTTTTTTTGTTTTTGGAATTTGTTGCGGCAGAGCTGTTGGAGGTGAATTGTAATGGCGAGAGCTTGAGGAAACCCTGCCGATCGGGTGTCCGGCGGGCGAAGAATCTCCTTCCGGCCTCTGATCTGGCGGTGCGGGGTGCTTGCCTATGCATGGAGGGGACGGAAGGACGGGTGCCGTCTCCGGGGCTGGCGGTGGCGGTGGCGGCGACGACGGCGGAGGGGAGTAGGAGTTTCCAGCCTCCGCCGGCTGCGCTGGCGGTAGGTGTGGTGGGGGAGGAAAAGCCTGCTGGCGAGGCTGGCGGAATGGCGGCGCCGGTGGCTCCGCTTGCCGGATTGGTGGTGGGGCCGGCTGGGGTGGGGGTGGAGGGGACGGTGAAGAAGAAGAGGGGGAGGCCGAGGAAGTACGGGCCGGACGGGAGCCTGCTGCGGCCGCTGAACCCGATGCCGATCTCGGCCTCTGCGCCGACCGGCCTCGAGTACACGTCGGTGGCCGCGGTGGGGGCTGCGATGAAGCGGGGTAGAGGGCGGCCACTGGGTTCGGTCAGCAAGTCACCCACGTACGGATTCGAGTTGGAGGACCCTTTAGGTAACCTCCTCATCATCTCTTCTCCTCGCCCGTTTCCTTCTCGCTCTTTTAACAGCTTCTAACGAATCTGAAATCAAGGAGACTGTTTTGCTCAATCATCGATGAGATTTGCATTCGAGATCTAGTGGATTACATTTTTTAGCTGAATTTTTCTTCTTCTTTTTTTTTGTTGTTGTTGTTGGTGATGATGAGGCTGTCGAAACCCCAAAAATCATCTTTTTGCGGCTCTGTCTCTATCTGTGTCTTTGCTGCTTTTCATCAGAGCTCAGTGTTGGTGGTAGCTGTCAACTTGGAGTTCAAGAAACGAGTCCGTAAGTTGTGTCAGGGGGTCAGTGGACGATGATCCCTATCTGCAGATATGATAAGGTAGAGGGGTATCGGATCTGATGGTGAAAGCGAAATGTGTGGGGTTGGATTGGATTATTCTCCGACTGAAGAAGTTGTGTGGAGAACATTTTACCGGATAAGAACATTAGTTGCCTACTTTGGTTGGCTGGAGTCAATTTTAGCGCTGGCAACAGATCCTCACTGTCCATTATTGCTTGTGGTAAAACTTGGTAAACCCGCGGCACGATTAGTTGGAATCTCATAACAACTGGACAAATTGCAATGGAGGTTGCGGGCTACATCGTCGTTGTCGGTCAATTTGCTTCCGGGGAGATCCCAGTATAGCAAAGTCTTTGTTTGGACTCAACTATGGTTAGGCCACATTTATCGTTCACTGTAGTATATCTAATTGTTGGAATCCTATTGATACAGGAGAGATGGTAGCATGCTCTGCTGGTGCTAATTTCACACCTCATGTTATCACTGTTCCTACTGGCGAGGTAATTGCTTCCTTGAACCTTAAATTACTTTTCTTCTTATGAATTATTATTGTCAAATATAAATGCAAATGTTCAACATGGTTGATGTAGCTGTTATTTAGCTCTTTGGTGTGATCCAAGTAGCTGCAAAGCGGAAAGGTCTTTGTGTTACAATGTTCTCGTTTGGTACTTTGGTCATCATCGCCTTCCCTTGGTTATATTTTGTCCAACCTCCACTTGAAAACTTTGTGACAATTTGCTTTCTTGGTTGTTCAGCATTTTATACTTGGGTCACTTTTGCAACTTTGTAGATTTCTTTCCTGCAGTGGCTGGCTTGTGAAGTTTGAGCTTAAATCTACGGGTAGCTTATAAAGTTTGAGCTTATTGTGTTCATCGGTCGCCAAAACTTGGATGTCTACAGAAACTTAGTTTGTTTTAGGAAGTTATAAAATGATTACATTGCCAAAAAGATCCTCTCATGGAGTTGTCATTATGCTTGACGCATATATTATATGCTGAAGCACTTGGTTTTTCTAATTTACATCATATTGACAATCTATTACTGCAGGAACCAAATCATTAGGATGTATAGAACGATAAGAAAGACTCAAATTGTACGTAAGCTAACAGAAAATTGCTACATAAGCTTCTGAACTTTTATTGAAACGATGTTGCTTCTCAAGAGACTATTCCGTAGCTGGTTCATCTGTTTTGTATGCAACAGGGTTCTGATTACCCAAATTTTCTATCCCAAAAAATGAATTGAAGACATTACTGCTTTTTTATTCTTTCATAAATAAACCAGAAAAAAACTAAAGTGAAGAGTTTTTTTAAATTGAAATTGACAAAGTTGCATATCCTACCCTTGTCATATGTTGCTTTTTTGGTCCTTAAATTTATCTTAAAAAAATCTTCATTGAACACATTTCTTTTTATGTTTGTTATTATTTGCAGGATGTTACTATGAAGATCATATCATTTTCACAACAAGGGCCTCGAGCTATTTGTATCTTATCTGCTAATGGTGTTATCTCAAACGTTACGCTTCGTCAGCCTGATTCAAGTGGTGGTACATTAACTTATGAGGTCTGTATATCTCTTCATGTGGAAGGAAGTGTAGGATTCAAGTACATTTGCTTGTTAAGTAGAAAAAAATAGTTTTAAATCAATAAAGATGAAACTAAATTAGTTTTGAATATTAATAAGCACATATTCATGCAAAAATATTGTGTGGCAAACATTGAAGGTTAAAGGACTTTACATCTATTGGCTGATTGGGCTGTTTGTGCCATTGAGATTAAGTGCACTTATGAACAGTTTATCAATTCTTAACTCTTCCTAAATTTTGGGGGAAATGTGGGACTTTGTGTCAATTAAGCTTTAAGGAGCAAGGCCTTCTTTCTCTGCTTTTCCAATAATTTGGAGTTATGCATCGTTGGGCCTTCTCCATCTTGAGATATGATCTGTGGCATAATCATGTTTAGAATATCATTCTGTTCCATTAACTTGAACTAAGTTTTGGCAGTAACATGGCTCCACAGATTATAATTTGACTTAAATTGAAGCATTGACTTGAATATAGCATGGCTCCGCAGATTATAATTTAACATAAATCGAATCATCAAAGAGATTAGATTGCAGGCATTTAGATCAGGTGAACCATATTGAATGGTTAGGATGCTGAACATATTTGTAGAGAACTGATTTGATATTGGGCGATGTTAATTAATTGCATCATAGTAGTTTAACTTTTAGTCAAAATTTGAAGGAAAGAAAACACGAATGCAAGTTGACTTTGATGGAGTTTATTACTAATGCTTTTAGCAGTAAAGTGGGAGTAAAATACTTATCAGCTATAGATTGGGATGTGCAACATCTCTGGGGTCGTGTGGGTGTATTAGATGTTGTGCTTAGTCTTGCCCGCTTTGTATCAGGGCCGTTTTGAACTGCTCTCTTTATCTGGATCATTTATGCCAACCGAAAATGGAGGAACAAGAAGCCGATCAGGTGGCCTGAGTGTTTCTTTGGCAAGTCCTGACGGTCGAGTTGTTGGAGGTGGAGTCGCTGGCTCACTGGTGGCTGCGAGTCCGGTGCAGGTAATAGTGCTCAAACCTACACATTCTCATGATGTAAAATCTTCTCATTTGGATACCTGAGTTATTCTTTTTGGCTGAAAAATATTTTCTCTTTTAATTGAACTTCTTCGACTCTAGTTTCTTTTGCGATGAAACCGATCAAGTACATCTAAGTATCTGCCTTGGCTTGTTAAAATTCTTTTTAACGACATTTACTCCCCCTTAGTTTTCACCCATACTTGTTCTATATTTCTCACGTAAAGTTATGGATGCAAAACTTATTTATTCAAACATCAGCACTTAGTTTACGTGCCATTCTATGTTAGGTTGTGGTAGGAAGTTTCTTGCCGAGCTACAAGATGGAGCAGAAAATAAAGAAGCCAAGACTTGAAACTGGATCAGCATCGACACCGACATCTGCAATTCAACGTTCAAACACAACTATGGAGGAACCTTTGGCTAGTGGCCAAGGTCAGCAGAGTTCAGCAACCATGAATCCAAATCCTTTAACTGCATCCCCTTTCAGTGAAGAAAATTGGTCTGCATCCCTACAGCCGGCACCGGGAGCCACAAACACGATGGACATAAACACAAGTTTGCCCGGTGGGTGAAGTTACACTAGAGTCTCTCTCGCATTTGTGAGTATGTTTGCTTCACCTTCTAGGTTTTCGGATCGAACCCAAGTGGTCGTGTCGTTCAAGCTCCATCCTTGTGATTGCAAGTTTGAGGTCCGAACACATGTATTGTTATCATTCATTTGAGTAGACTTATATGGTTTGTTATATGGATTTCGTAGGGTTTTGCCATCCAATTTAGTTGATGTTCAGCATTGTAACACCTGCTTTGTATCTGATGGGAGTCAGTTTCATTCATGGCTTGATACTTTCCAACAAATTTTATAGAAGTAGAAGTTTGGTTTAGTAGCATGTGAATATCTCTACATACATATTTGCATATATCTACTGGTCTATGTGGATGATATTATCATCATTAGCAATTTTTTTATTGAGATCAAGTAATTTCTTAAATAATTGGTAGATCAATTCTCTATCAAAGACATATGAACCTTAAGTTATTTTCTGGAAGTGAAAACAATGTTCAAATTTTATGATAGTAGTCCTATTACGGATCTCACATAATATCGACAAGTACTTGGTTCTTTCTAATATTTATCTCTAACATGTTTAGACATTAAATTTGCAATCAACAAATTATCATAATTCATACATCGACCATCTACTTCATTTTCATACCTTCATCGATATTGATTGGATCATGTTCTTTCAAGCATCGATTTGTAGCTCACCTATGAACTTGCTTATCGTTGCAATCATTGAATCAGACGTTGTTGGATATTTTATGCGATTTTATAAAGCAATATTTTTTAAAAGAAATCTATGTTTTTAGATTTTTTTTGAAAATATCTTTCATTTTCAGAATTATCTAATGGCATCATATATATATATATATATATTCTATGGATTCGTCCATAGAATAAATTGGTTCAGTAATAATATTTTTATACTTCTAACAATATCAAAAAAATATTATAGCATAATACAAAATTATTATGTCATGATATTTTTTTATTATTGTTGAAAACTCTGTAACACAATGTAAAAATACTGTGTTTATAATGTTTTTATAAAATCTGTATAAGCATACTATATATTGTAATATATTTGTATTACTTTGTAATGTTTCTTGGTGTTACTAAAAACAGTGTAAAAACTTTGTAATTGGATAGATACACCCAATGGATTTGTCTATAAGAAAAGGAATATGTGAAGTATTGAGTATTTCATGTATTATGTAAAACAAAAAAACACTGTTAGGAAGTTCTGAAAATAAGATTATTTTTCGGAAAAAAATAAAAAAAAATTGATTAGAAATTGGTCCGTTCGAGTAGTTATGTTTTGTTTTTTGGGGGGCCCTCTTCATTTTCCGGTGAGGATGTGGTAACCACACTGGAAGGTCTACCGACAGTTCCGTTATGGTCACGGTCAGTGAGAATAAGAATCCGGTTTCTGGACGATTTGACGCCATTTTAATTTTTTTTGGGCTTGTTTGTGATCCGGATGACGTGCGGTAAGTTCACCAAAGAGTATGCTGGTACGCTCCTGTTATATGGACGGCGAGTGAGAATAAGAGGGGAGTGCTTGGGCACTTTGGAAGACCTTTAACGCGCAACCGACTCGTGGTATTCTCACCGGGGAGTCTCGGGAACTTCATCCGCAGATGCAGATGGTGGGAGACGGAGAATTTGTTCGAGCATTCGAAGAGGTTAAGCTTCGGTGATTCTGCCATCGACAAAAATAATGACGAGTAATAGTATATGGTTTATCATTACAGTAAGGTAATGACGATAATATTATTATAAGAGTGAAATCTCGGTATGATAATAAGACTATGTATTTGTAAGGGTATAATATACATGTCATCAGATGGAATGTCATATATATATATATATATCCATCCATGGTTGTCAGATCCACCTTCACTCGATACTCAATTTTTCTGTTTAATTATTTTCTTTTTCTTAAAAAAATAATTTTGGTCCATTCAAATCAAACTTTGTTTAGATGATTAAAATATCATGTTGAAAAATGATTGAAAAAAAATATTCAAATTAGAAACCTCAGATTTGTTATTTGGAGAAGCGTTTGATCATTTAATTTTTTTTATATTATTTTTCTGATCGATTCAGTTCAGAACTGTCTGATTCAATTTAGAATGATTCATTCAATTAGATTCTGATTCAAACCGAACCATAGTCTAATAATCTACATCTATCATTCTCACAGTCAGCATTGTGCTAAACTCTCATTTAATAGCAAGATAATACTGCGGTTACAAGATTTTCTTCAGATCAGATAGATACAAGAAGCACTTGCACACGATTGCAAGGTAGCATCATAGATGGCTTTCCGATTACAGCACGGTTAATAACTAGACATACTCTACTAAGTCTACAAGATCGGCTTCAGACCAGACATACAAGATTTACTGGCACATGAAAAAGATTATTCTGCCTATGGACAATCCTCAGAGTCCCTCAATAACACAGATGGAAGCACTATACAATGTACATTTGTATCCGACTTCTCATGGAGCGGCCACATTTTCCACAGCAAGAGGAGCTACTTCCTCGCCGTCGATACCAGGTTCACTATTTGCAGCCCCTAGACTCAGGAGAAATTGCTCCCACTTCTTGGCAGGTCCCTGTGACAGGCGATCGATTGACACCCGAATCACGTAAGTTGCGAAGAAACACATGGAGTGCAGCATATAAATCTTAGGAGAAATGGATGTTTTTGTAGCTCACCTTCCAGGAGAGATCTTGGGCCATGCAGTTCTGGATCATCTCTGCAAAAGCAGGTGTTCCATAGACCTTGAGGGCCCTCTTCACGGTTTTCACAACTTTTTGTACATCAGCTTTGTCGGCAACAGCACACTGGAAGAAGCGGATCGAGTAAGAATCATGTCAATGCATCAACATGATGATTCACTCGGGAAGAGTTTCCTTACCTCCACACTGAAGGGACCCATGTGGAAGCCGGTGCAACCTTCTTTGACGGTGTCAACTAGTCCACCAGTTGTGGAACACATGGGAGGCTGCACCAAATTTTAACAACCATCAAGGTTTTCACTTATGTAGAAGCAGCCAAGACCATTATTTTCTAGTCAATACAATTTCTGAAAGTTCAAGTTGTTCAACAGGATACTAATCATCATGTTACTGAAGCCTAGTAAAGGATGCAAAATGTCATGATATGGTGCCATTCTAGAAGTGAAATAAAGACTACCCCGTGCCATCATATGATTCAAGACACCAGGACAAGGAAATGACCGATGAACCATAATAAAAATGAGTCGGGACATGGTCCTTTATAAATTTCTACCTAGTCAACACCTAAATATGTCATTTAGATATTGCTCTAAGTTTATGCCAAAGCCTGAAAAAAATTCAAGCGACAAGCCTGAGAAAAGTAGAACATTCTAACTCGAAAGAAACAGATAAGGGACTATCATGCTAACACAGATAAAACGAGAAGCTCATTGATTAAAAAGGATAAAGTCAATCCGGGTCCATTGAACTACTGGTTGCTAAAAGATGTAGACATTTATGGCAGGCATAACAATGAAGTCGATGAATGCGATAATACTAACGAAGAAGAGGTAACATACAATTCCATATTGCATGGCCTGGAGCTGAATAAGACCACATGGTTCAAATCTACTTGTAACAGCGAGGATATCTGCTCCAGCCATGATTCCATGAGCCAAAGGAACATTGAACTTCAGATGTGCTCTGACTTTGTCTGGAAACATTGTTTCAAGTAATGCAAGCTGACGCTCCAGCTTCTTCTTACCAGTACCCTGCACATGTGGTTAATTAGTATTCCTGTGCTGATATGTAGTGAGATATGAAAGGCTACTGATCATGGAGCTCATTACTTACAAGCACTACTACTTGAACATCCTCATCAATGAATTCTGGAATTGCTGAAGCTAGAATGTCTGATCCTTTCTGCTCTTCTAGTCTTCCAATGAAGGCTATAACAGGGATATTTGGGTCAACAGGCAGCCCAACCTCGGCTTGCAAAGCTTCCTTATTGAGAGGTTTTGCATCCATTACCTGTAACTTCCTTGGTGAGTTTGATGTAAAAATTAAAATTAAGGCAAAAACAACTCCATTGAAAATGCTCACTGTTGTTGCATCGTAATTTGCAGATATATATTTGTCTGTTGATGGATTCCACTCATTGGTGTCCATCCCATTTACTATCCCAGTGATGCCTGTCATGCGCAGGATATTGTCCAACTCAACACCCTTCTCTACACCTGAGACAAGCTCTTGGGCATAATATGGGCTTACAGTCAGGACCCTATCTGATTCTATTATTCCAGCCTTCATCCAATTAATTTTCCTTCCTTTCACAGGTTTGTCATATCTGCAAATAAAATGTATCTTGTGAATTTTGCATGCAAATAGAAATTTTATTATCAATAATAAGTTATGACATCAAAAAAATGAAGAGCATACCCATCAATGAAATCAAACGAAGACTTAAATTTATCAGGAAGATTAAGTCGTGCAAAATCTGAGTAGGCAAATCGGCCCTGGTAAGCGATATTATGAATGCAAAATGCAACCTGAAACCAATTAAAACCATTGCTCCATCAATCAATCACCTACATTATAAATAATTCCTAATAACGAAAGAAAATGACCAATTTTAGTGGAGACATACCTTAGCATTCTTGTAAATGCCATGTGATTGGTACATAGTCTTTAGGTAGCATGGTAGAAGGGCAGTGTGCCAATCATTGGCAATAAACACAACATCTTCCCCTGGAAGAAAGAAATAACAAAAAAATCATTGGTAGATTTAATCAATAGAATGGGTTTATTCACAAAGATTGTGCATACCATACGGTCCAGAATGGTATTTACTATTGTTGAAATGTAGAACTCTTGGAGCTTCCAGAGCTGCCTGTAAAAGTTATATACAGTTTGGTAAAAACCATCATAGGTAGAAATTTGAACTTCACAAGCTTTCAGTAGAACTTCCATGCGGCAGATAATGTTGAACATGAAATGCATAAGCCCCTTGGCAGATTCAGGTCCCCAAATAAAATACTACTATCATCGAATAGGTCTAAACAGAATTAGTTACTGTTGCAGATTACTCATCATCCTAAGGTATGGTTTATATATTGATGTAAACATAGCAGATAAGTTCATGAAAGAAAACCTTTCTTTAAAATAATTTAAGCTAAAAGGTGAAGCTACTCATGGGTCACTTGGCACATGTGATTCCGCTGAAGTCGCACTCATAAGTGAAGCAGAGTAAACTATTGCTAATCCCTATGATTCGTTGGCAGAAATAAAGATATTCCTGATCCAGGACATAACAAAATCTGTCACTGGCATCTATAACGATCACTCACCTGGCACAAAAGGCTGAACCTCAGCTGGTTGTCTTCAAAATCTGTTCCGGTCACAGGACCATATATCTTTCCTCCAGTTTTGCCCCAAACCTTTGGCATGTAGATGGTCAGTAGGCTTTGTGCCACTTGAATGTTTGATAAAAATAGTTGACATTATTCATAAACAAGAAGATTATTCCAGGTTAGATAAAAGAAAACCTTCTCAAGAAACATTGGATGGTCAACAAAGACCCGATCAACTCCCCTTTTGTAGCAGTGGAAGAACCGAACAGTTTCAGTTCTATCCCCAACTTTTAGCTGCATATAGGAACAGAATTAGAGCACAATGACCCAAAAGATAGGAAAATGCGTTACCTAACTAGTGCAGCAGCTTGTAATTGTAGCAGTAGTCAAGCTAGCATACCTCAACCAAGACACCAGTATCCCACCCATCTTTATATTGATCGTATCGTGGTGCTACAGTCATAACCCTGTGTCCATTTGCCTGCACAAAGATCGGAACAAAAGAATCTAGTCAATATATATTCACGCCAACAAATTATTAATCAGGCTATCAGATTAATGAATGCATGAGGTGATAATGCTGCATGGAGGTATAGCAACTGAGTACCGCCATGGCTGGTGGCAACCCTCCAAGAACATCACCAAGGCCCCCAGTTTTGCTCCATGGAGCCACCTCAGCACCAACAAACACCAAGTTCATTCCACTTCCACAGACAACAATAGCCCAGGGCCTATGGCTAGCATGACGAGTGCCCCTCCTAGCTTGCCTAGAAGTTGCTTTGGCATTCAACTGCATCTGACGTGAATCCACAACATTCCGAGTTCTTAGACCTTCATAGGTAGTGGCATGGGTACTCAAGTACGGAACCCTTCTGCTCTGGAAAGTCATTGCCTCAGAATCAAAAGCTCCACCATAGCTGGAGCATGAGGTCCTCGAGATGAAGCGTGACGCCATCACAGCAGCCATTGGAACACGCACACTGCAATCAATTGAAATGCTTAGTAAAGACCAAAAGGTGAAAGAACGGAAAAGAAAAGAACACAAATTATCCAAATTATATTAAAAAGCCTCCACCTTTATTTGCATTATTTGATTAATTATTAATGTTCTTCATACAAATACTACCCCAGGATAGTTCAAATTGTCTTTGACAAAGCGGAAATTATTTCTGTGAATTTAGTGTGAAGATCCATGTAGTAACTCAACTACCATCAACACTATCTACACCTTCATTCAACAATACAAGTGGGTAAAAAAAAAGGTGCTTTACCCTCAAATTTCTCATTTACATGAATACTATCACTATGGAAATGAACTTACAAGCTTTTTATAGTACCACAAAACCCACTTTTTTTATTTCAATTAATTCAAACTATATATATTATAGTGACAAATTTATGCAGTATAATTAGCAGAATTAGACTTAACAGAGACGAAGCTCTGGAAAAATCGGCATTTTTGTATAGCAATCTACGCATTCTTGTGTACAATAATCATTAGATTAGAAATATCCCAAATCCATAAGTTGGTTCAGTTGCTACTCTGCTGCAGATGGTTATTCCCTGTCCCAGTCTCCGATAGATCCAACAAGAAAAAGGATTATTTCAAGACAATCGATGGTGACTTATAGAATCTTAAAAGGAAGCAGAAAAAAAAAGCGAAGCTTAATGCGTTTTGCAGAAACAATACAAAAATCCGCCATGATCACTTAAGCAGAACGAGAACGAGAGAAATTGAGTAACCCAATCGATCCCGTTAACCAAACTTACCACTCTCTCTCTCGGAGGAGGAAGATGATGGGAGCGGAGACTTCCTTCTCTCTCGTTCGCTCCCCTCGCGCAGTGATGACCAAGGCCGGCGTGCGCTCCGTGAGGTGGGTAGGCAGCGAGGCGTCGGTACTTGTAACCCGTGAGGGGGCAGCGGGGGACGCGCCGAGGACGCGTGGCGACGTGTTAGTGGCGGTTTAACCACAGTCTCGTAGGAAGTGACTGTGGGTCCCAAGGCGAACCAGCAACACGAAGTGGGAATATGCGAGCGGGGCAGTGTAGAGACGCAGATGCCCTGCCACGTTAGCCTAGATTTTTATTTGGAATGGTCACGTCGGTGTACATTACCAGGATTACCCTCGGGCTCGTTAAGTAGGCTTCATATCGGATCCGGATCCAAGCCCGATAAAAGGATCTGCAGAACTGGCATTATTGGATTCATACATAGCTTGTCGATTGTCGGATGTCGGGTTGGATATCGGATCGTAAAGTGGATATTAATGTTGTAATCAGGAATTACATATTACACAGCGACATGTGTGGAAGCACGTAGAGACATATTTATAGCGTTATGGCCCTAACCACATGCGATTAAAGATATTTGTGCCCATTAACAATCTTGCGTGATAAATTAGAAGATGAGGGGCATTTTTGTACTCAAATAGTTACATCGAATGATGGCCACCAATAGAGTAGACGTCCACAAAAACTGAAGGTGCACTGTATATAAATCACGTGACATGCACGAGGCTACAAGAGAACCACCAATTAGTAATTAGAAACATGAAAGGAATGAGAAGTGATTAGAGGTTAGCATGTAAAATATGCTCGACCACAAACTATCATGATTGGTTGACATCGGTTTCGGGTGGGACCGAAATTGATGGACGGCCAAGGAAAACTAGAGGCATGAATGATTTGAATGTGGCTCGTGAGAACCATCGTTCGTTCAATGCCTACCTGAGAATAGCAGCAGGGGAAATGGTGAGCAGAACACCACAAGTGAGATCCCGTGACTTGGTGAACTCGTGGTTGGAAGGAATACTTTGGATCTATTTGTGCGTTTTGACTTCTCTTTCTATTTGCTCCTCCGAGAGAGAGAGAGAGAGAAGTGTTGTGTTGTCAACATCGATCTACAGTATGCAAAACTCGAAATATTGATGTGAATGGCGATGAAGAACGAAGGAGAATCTTACTCAACTCTCAAAATAATTTCCATTAAAGAATGAACAGATATTTAAAGGTGGAAATAAGCAAAAGGCAAATTTAGCATTATGAAGTCACGAAGATGAGAAATGAGGAGTTTGAAAGATGAGGAAACACCAAAATAATAATGACTTTCTGATCACTAAAACACAGAAACTAAATTGGTGAGTCAGTTCAATTGATTTATTGTCAAAACCATAATTACTCTTCTTGGCTGACCTGGAGAACAGGTATTGCGAGAAGGGCGAAGGAATTTGTAGAGAGGCAATTCATCATAAGCAGCTTAGTCATTGAGCATTGAAGATTAGTTAAAGAGTTAGGGCAATCTCCTCTATTGGGTAGTTTCCATCGTGGCTTTGGATTACATCAATGATGCTTCACAATAGGAGTGTCTCGGCTCGATCCCTCCCATACTTAAGTTAGGAAAACGAAAAGAGAGGAAGACAACAGAAAATAACCTTTTTTGCCTACTTGTCTCGACTCAACCCGAGATTTAACCTTTATACCTAGGTGCTTAGTGGAGTAGACAGGTCTATGTCAAAGCCTCCCTCCCCATACGTGGAGGAGGCATTTAGATCTCCATCAGCACCCCCCTTATCCTATGTGGAGGAGGCTTTTAATGCGGACGATTTGCCAACGTGTGCCCAAAGGGTGACGCTTTAAGACTATTGAGATGACATCTTCGATCTAGCTTCCTTCTTTTGGTCAGGCAAATCGTCCAACGTGTGCCCAAAGGGTGACGCTTTAAGACTATTGAGATGACATCTTCGATCTAGCTTCCTTCTTTTGGTCAGGCAAGACATGGTCCTTTCGTCATCCGTCCGGAAGGGAAGGCTTGTGAGATTTGACCATATTGTCGATTATTAATACAGAGTCAGATTTCTATTTCTCAACCGTGGATCGACGATGAGTAGATCTCACGAGCCCATTTTGAAAAACCAAGATAAATGGCACGACCTCCTATTAGTGACCTTAGAGTATAGATAGTTCTCCTGACTTTTACTTAGGTGTTATTTACGTGGTGGGGGAGCTAAGGAGTACTCGGATTATCCTTGTAAGACCCCGTATTGATTCTAATAATTAACAGGTTAACAGTGAGAAGAAGCAGATTTGCTATTTTTCTGCAATGACCAACCTATAAAACCAAATTGATGATATACCATAAACACCTCTATGACAATAAGATTCTATTGGTGGATGGATGCAAATTATAACCCATCTGTAACCTTCCTTCCATCCACCACTGCATTGCACTACCATAGTGGCATGGATAGAAACCATACCATATACATTGATGCCATTAGCCTAACTCATAGTTAGGTATGTGTAGTTTGCTCACTGTAACTTGAAATACAGTCACCAAAATAAACAAGACACGAATATTTTAAGTACATTTTGAACAATAATAATCAATCTTTCTTTAAAAATTTACTCTACACATTATATTTGTCCTTTTGAAAAAGAGAAGATAACCATATCAAAGTAAAAAAAGGGGTACATCCTGTGCTTTGAAGATCAACACATAAAAGATCGACGGTCAATCGTGTCCCTCCAAACAAAATGCAAACCACTAACTCTAGCGAGGTTTGCTACACATTACATCTTAACCATAGGATGTTTTCTTAAAGATAATATTAATAATAATCCATCTAGCATGATGTGAACAACAAAGAAAATATATGGAGACATACAAACCCATATCTCAGCATATATCAGTTCAATGGATCAAATGTAGGGTCAAGATTAGGCTAATTTAGCCACCTTACCCTGCAAATGAAATTTATTCTTGTCACTCTCAACATTAGTATTTGTTGAGTTCACCTAAACAAACAAATTAACAAGAGAAACATCAACATTTGTATTTGAGAAAGTCTCAAATTTTACAAGAACAAAAACTATGTCATCTCGAGTTCACCTAAAGAAACAAATTAACCTCAGCAGATCATAAGAACATCAAAATTCCTAAAGACTAGACTTAATGATGGCAATAAGTAACTTCAAAATCAAAACTGACAAAGGATGATAATGTGAAGATCTCTCTCTCTTTCTCTCTAATCAAACAAACTGAATCCCATGTCATCGTCACTCTCTTCCTTGGGCTCCTCCTGCAACCAAAACAACAGCAGCATCAACAACAGCGGAACAAAACAAATCAAACCCTTTCTCCACTTCGATGAAATGATTAGCATTCTCGTGTAACGAATATAGGAAACAGAAAACAAAGAACAAAAAATGTCACCTTTTTCTCCTCAGCAGCAGGAGCGGCTGCAGGAACAGAACCACCATCGCCAGCGGCTGGGGCAGCGGAGACTCCAATAGGTGCACCACCACCTCCTGCAAGAACATTCAGAGACTAAGTAAAATGGGATCAAAATCCATTTTTTCTCAGCAAAAAATTCAAAACGGAGACGACGAAAAAGAAAGCAACTAAATCGAACCGGATCCCACGCTCAAGATGAGGTCGTCGACGCTCCTCTTCTCGAGGAGCTTGGCGAAGAGAGGCGCCCAGTAGGAGTCGATCGTCACGTTTGCGGCCTTCACCAAGGTTGAGATTTTCTCCGACTGATCGTTTCGGAAATGCAAAAATAAACAAATCAGATAGCACCGAGGAAAAAAGAACTACATGATCACAAGGAGCAAAACAACAAAAAAAAAAACAAGTGGGAAGCATGGGAAGAACCGTAATGGCGATGTCGTCATCGTTAAGGATGAGAGCAGCGTAGGTGCAGGCGAGCTCTCCGATCGATGAGGCGGCCATCGGTCGACGAAGAACTCTGCAACCGATTGACGAATGAAAGAATAAAACAACAGATAACTAAAAGGAAAAGATCTCGAGGAAAGTGGGACAAAAGCTTACTTTGGGAGATATAGGCGATCAAGAAGAAGAGAAATGAGGGGTTCTCGACGGCGGCAAGCGGGAGTAGTGGAATTTATAGGACAGAAGAACTAGGGTTTCTCGGGCACGCTATGCGCGAGAAAGCGCGGCTCGACTGTTCGGCCTCCTCCGCGGTGCAATATATTGCATTTTTTTATTTTAAATATATTTTTAAGATATCTTGAGTTAGTTGTTTCAACTGCTTACGGCTAGAAAATGAAACTCATACACACATTTTATATATATATATATATATATATATATATATATATATATATATATATAATTTAGAATAAATAATTTGTTCGTATTCTTCTCACGCTTCGTAGATTTGAATTGACCGTGTAATTTAAAGATTACTCTTCGGTTTCATTTTACCTACCTAATGTTGGATGATGGGCGACGCATATGGTTGGTAATTGGTATTGGCACGAGAATATACGTTGTATATATATTCACGTTGAAGTTGAGAAGTGCTTGTCACTTTTACGCTTAATATCTATGAACTACAGTAAACAATCATATGTGGAGATATAGGTTCAAGTCGAGTTGTTCTGGCTACCCTACCTCCAACCGATGCATATATATATACAACCAGAGGCTGTGCTGTTTCAATTTTGATGTCTCTCTCTCTCTCTCTCTCTCTATATATATATATATATATATATATAGAGAGAGAGAGAGAGAGAGAGAGAGAGGATTCCGGTGGGTTGGATTCAAGTGTTGAATTTGGGATTTGAAGCAACATTAACATGAATTCGAACAGGATTGAGATATCTCAACCAAACCCAAACCCAAAAATACATTTAGACCAACCCAAGCTACTCCACTGATAGATGAAGGAAGGCTTTGGATGTTAATAGAAGGAATAAATAGCACGGATCGTAATATTTTAAGTATAATATATATTATCTCATAATTTCTAGGGACAACCATAAACTTCGCTTAAGTTGACATGTAAAAACCTCAGGAGATCACACAGAACAGTCGACAAAGTTTGATCCACCATTTTAAAGGGAAAACAAACACAAAGAAGTGATTCAGCCATCCTTGTGCGCAAGCTCTTATACATAGAATTCAAAACAGTAATACCTCAAACTAAACTTCATGCATAGAGTGAAGCAACGCAGTAGGTTGGAGAGCATTAAACGGATGAAGGTTTCAGACCCGCAACTGGAGACTCTATGGAGTAGTCGTGAAACCTGGAGAAAAAAAAATGTATCTGTTTAAAGGCCTTTTTTTGAGACCAAGATGTACAAAGTGTAGGCATAGAATGCATAACAGCTATAAAACCAACCAACTGGAACTTTAATAGTAGGCAAAAGTGCCTGTTTAAAGAAATCCTTTTGTACTCGTACCACCACAATTTTCTTTGTTTTTCTAAGATGAATTACACCAGCATAAGAATAGTTAGCAATTCAGGGAACTGCATGTAGTGAGCATATATCAAAATCAAAGTAATTTGTTATGGTACCAGCTAGATACAGCAAAGAAAAAAGTAACTAATCCACGGGGTTGTCCAACAAGCTTAATAAATCCTCGTTAAATGCACGCAAGAAGGAATAATAGCTATGAAGAAAATTTCAGTTGATAATCTGGTGGTAACACTCTGTGTTGATTGTTGATTTCCAATTCAAAAAATGCATCACAAGCCTATTTGTTTATGTTAATCCTAATTTGTTCTCCTTATCATGCTTTCATCTATTATCTATATTAAATGAGAGAGGCATCATGTCTTTTAAAATCCATGAATACACTAAATATGATTTTTCACTCAACTACAGTTCAGCATTTTAAAGAATACCTGGCATAGTCAGCCTGACTTTGATCTAGACCTTGATCTGTATGTACAACACAAAATGTTGGTTGGAGTAAAATGAAAGATACAATAATGTTAAATTTATAGAAAATTAACATAAAACACAGAAAAACATATCAATTTTTACATTAAATTACCTTGACATTCTGGCTGGAGACACAGATCTGGGTCTTGGAGATGCAGACTTGGATACTGATCGTGATAGAGGCCGTTCAATTGATTTGCTAAAGAAAACAGAAAATCGAAAATCAGTTACATTACATAAAGATTATTTGGAGTTGCATCTACTAGGACCATAGGAGATGTAAAGATATTCTTAATCTCTAAATGCAACCAATTACTTGTACTAGCTTTAAACAATAAGTGCAAGTTTAAGGAGGATCCTTAGAAGCGAAGCAATAAATAAAACTCAAGATTTACCTCCGACTCCGTCTAGGGCCTCTGCTTCTGCTGCGGCTTCGGCTTTGGCTTCGACTCTTTGACATACTTCTCTCGTAGCTTTTTACCTAGAAAAACAAGGGGCAAATGAAATAGAAAACGAATGGGGTACACTTGTTAAATCAAATTATAGAATTTATACTGTCAAATTGTTATTAATTTCTAATAATCAAATAATTATTTAGTAAAAAATAGCAGACAATTAAAAGTCTGTTAAGTCGGATAAAAATTTCAGGGGAAAATCATCCAAGCAAGTAAAGTAGTATGCAGATGTGAAATCTCAGCAAAATCAGCCTTAACAATATGACAAACTGTGTCGGCATATGTCACTTTGTGAGCATTTCAGTTGTAACCGGATATTGATTCTGTATAGTTTTTGTTTGTTCTTGTTTGTACCTGTTTAAGACTATGCCGAACTACTTGTATCAATGCACTTCCATGTCTTACTTGGACCCAAGCCAATAATATCATGATTTGACATAAAAAATTTTGCACAAATATATTTTTTCTTATTGTTCTGCAAACATACCTTTATTTTTATTTTTTACATTTATTTTCCTTATTTTTTAACATTTTTATTCTTATTTTTCTTATAAAATTTTTTTTGCTTGTTATTCCCACAAATATCTATTTTACAAATATAACCGTGAAATCCCAATCTATGGTGCATTATAAGCTGGTTACTACTGGATATCCCAATCTATATCAACTTGGAATAGGTGATGTGCAACTAGTTGTATATTTAATTGAAACACTGGAACATAAAGTCCGACAACATTCAATATTCACATGGTAAGAGAAGACAAAAAGTCCTAGGATTTTGTCCAATATGTTTATCCCTCTACTCAACATAATGAGAAGCAGATTTTGCTAAATCAAGTTCCTATATGACAGTTAATAGGTATTGAAAATAAGCAAAATGTAATAACTGTTTCATTGTTACTTTATTTCGTAATTCACACCCAAGATTTTTGATAGAACATACCCGAATATAGGACCTCGAAAAGGGATTTCTAAACTCAGTGTCATCAAGTTTCCTTATCTGGAAAGCAAAAAAGAACAATAGGAAGCCATCGATAACATGCATTCTTAAAAGAATGACAAATGGCCAAGCAGGCAACTTACTGCATATTTCATGTCTTCATAATTAGTATAATCAACCAAACCCATCGCACCTGGAAAAATAAAAGCAATTTTTTATGCAACATTGATGCATGCAGCATAAGTAGGTGATGGAGATGGCACAACTAGCAAATAAATGAGAAAACAAGCAAGGAGAGATCCCAGGTTGAACAATCAGCAAACCCTGACAGGTGCTGTTGGATCGAGTGATAAAAGAGATTAGCTGGTTGATCAACCATGTCAATTAAATATGGCATAAAGGTGTTTCAGCTTTGGATTTGTCTGCAAATTGTGATAGATTATGGATGCATATCATATGCCTGTCTTAATGTGTAATATTATAAACAAAAGGACAACCATATGTGGACTAGGTTTGATTCTGTTGTATACATGATGTAGCAATAATGTGATTATTTTATGCTCTCCAGCTATAATTCCACAGGGAGTACAGACTACTATTTACGGTCATAAAATGGTGATGTTGCCTCCTAACACGACAAGAAGAGTGGAGAGCAAAAGGGTACAGACTACTATTTATCTTTAAAAAAAACCCCTGATCTTGGAAAATTCTCAGCATTATATATTCTCATGCATATATCATTGAGAAAGAAGAACATAATAAGGGCCAACCGTATGGCAGCAAATGCTGGGTATACTTCAGTTATCCAACAATTTTTGCTGATTCTGATCACTAATTTTAAGTGATAAACATAACCTAGTAGTTTATTATCAATTATCCTAAACAAATACCGAACATCCTCGCTTGTCCTAGTCAAATTTAATCAATTTTTTTGGTGGAGTTGTATCCGCATATTATCTGAAACAAAGGAATGTCTAGTTTAAGTAACAGGTGGACCCAATTTAGTCCTTTTCTAAATTCAGGATGACCGACTGAAAAAGGATCTTTAGTTAAAATTATTTTAAGAGCTCTGGTTGGCTGCATAAAGTGAGTTTGTCCTTGGGACATTTGCAGACCTCCCTTCATTATTTCTCCTCATTCTATTCAACTCGTGGTCCCCTTCCTCTCTTCTTTATTCTTCTTGGTCTCCTATCTCTTATACCATGCTGTCTGTTTCATCTGCTGCATCTATAATCCTTTGGAGCTAACAATGAGAAAATAAATTTAGGAAATTATTTAGTGCAGCATAAACTATGACAAGGTCACTCAAATGAGCGTCCAATGCATGTCTGACAACTGCCAAACATAAACATATAAAGGGAAAAAGTGCATATGCAGGCAAGCATTCAGGAGTTCTCTATTTTTTTCATCACTGACACTAAAATGGTGAAAAAACTGTAAAAATTAAATGTGACCTTCGTTTATTATGTCACATTTGCAAATGTTATCATAAATTCACAGTGAAACACTAAAATGATTTCAGAACCTACCATCACCATCACGGAAAACTTGCGCAAAACATACATCTCCAGCCTTCCTCATATGATCCTGAGATGTCAGGAGGTGTAAAACACGGAAAAATGGAAACAACAATCTATAAGGTATCCCCTAAGAAGTTTACACACCTTCAGATCCTGCCATGAAGCTGAAGAAGGAAGTCCCTTCACAATTACTGCAGAAGTTGAGATGTGTTACATATTTCAGAACCTTAGCATAAAAGATTACTATGATGAATTAGCAAGAGATACGACAATATGTTATGAAATTATTATTAATCACCTCGAAATTCAGAACGGTGTGAAACTCCAAATTTGCTGCCTCCACTCCCATGGCGACCACCTCGTCCAACCGAAACTGACTGTCCTCTGCCACCATGGGCTAGCTCAACCTTTATTGAAAAAGGATCAATAAATTGAAAGTTGATTGCACACATGGTCCACAAACATAATAGATAATTTTAATACCCTAAGACGGTGCCCATCAAAGTTGTAGCCATCGCGACCCCTGACTGCATCTTCAGCATCTCGTGAACTTTCAAACTAAATAAAAAACAGTTTGAATTATAGAACTTAGAAGCCTAAAAATGTAATATAACAAATTCCACATTAATAAAATTTACCTCAACAAAACAATAACCAGGAGGGCGAGGTGGATTCTTCAATTGAATTTCCACTACGTGGCCATACTATAACAAGAACAAGTTAACATATCAAAAGTAATGATGGTTGAACCTTCTAAGACACACAACATTATTGCAATAAACAACATAATTTAATTAACAAATCCAGAAGAGTAAAGCCACATGCATATTTCAAAAAATTATACCGTCAAAATTGACTACATGATCAGCAATAACTCACATCAGAATCAAATTCTTGGATGTTTAACAATTAAGTGATCTACTCAAAATTTCAAATGGAACGTGTTTTGCATGATCAAATAACTCATATCTAATTATTCTTGTAGGCAAAAATCATATGCAAAAACATGTCAACAAACTAAAAACTGCAATGCTCTGCTCCTACATATCAGATTGTAGAACTAAAAATCCAATACTTCATGGTACAACACCTGCTTTAAATTGATCCATCATTGTGAACAATAACCTACCTGAATCCTTGCACCAAATCTGTCTGCAATTTGGTGAGTGTCAAAAAATTGTAAAACAAGAATTAGCTGCCCCATATTATATGGACAACTTTTGGATCGAAGGAAGCCTCGATTGGTATGAAATGATGTATCAATATGTTGGGGATTAAATTATTAGATAGGACCATGGTTACAAATATCCGTTGAACCAGTACATACCAACCGTATTTACTGATCCTTAGTTGGACTGGTGCTAGAGGTACAGTCGGCATTCAATTTTTATTATATTTTTCCACTGACGATAAATGGCACAGGAGTTACCACTCAATATATTGATGGTGACCAAAACTTTAATCCTCGAGGACGACATTAAACAAAGTAATTCATTGCCCCTCCAACTGCTTCATAATTAGAACTTGCTAACCCTACCTGGTTACTGAATATACAATGCACAAAAATATGGACCAGGTTTGATTGAGTTGGTCCAGCATTGGTCCTGTCCTCCCCATAAAATATAGGTGATATATACTTCTCACAGTCGTATGTATCAGAAGTAGTGACCTGATCCTACAAAATATATATGCACCAAAACTGCCATGCCAATGCAGCAATTCAAAAATTACATGTATAGCATGTATGAACTAAACTTTTCTGGTACATGGCTAGAAGTGTGACAAGAGGCCTCTGAGAGTGTCATATTATGCTAGCAGATGGATAGTGTTTGGTTGGGCTGGAGCATGAATAAAATAATTTAACCAGGTACTAAATAGCAAAGAATGCAGAGCAAAAGTCCGAATAAAAATCAATAATTGGAGAAATTCATAGATTTATCAAATAAATAAGAGAACTAACGAGCAATGAGCATCTGACAAATAGGTTGTAATTCAAACCTTGTAAAATAAATCTTCAACTTCTGATTCTCGTATGTCTATAGGAAGGTTGCCCACATAAATGGTACGACTCAACCGAGCACTCATGATCAGCACTAAAGATGTAAACCCTGTAAAAGAGAAGGTTCAGACGCAACAAGCCAAACATCAAATCCATGTTTTTTAGTTTCTTGCTTCCATGGTAATGTTGATTCTTCAGAGCGACAAGGACCCATGTTGATATTAAAGTTGAGAAAAAAAGTCCAAACTGTGAGGCAAACCAATAAAGCAACTCTTGATGCGAATGGTGCTCCCCAAGCTCCATTGCCCAAGCACTCCAAAAGGCTCCACAGCTATAATCAATTGAAATTATATGTTGGATAAACCATCCACTTTAGTTCTCCTTTGTGAATGCCAGAACCTCTCAAAGTACCTAAAACTCCAAATAGATTCCTCCCACTCCTCTATAGCCCTATTGACAGCTCCAAAGCTCACATTTCCAGCATCCATCATCTATCATAAAGGATTTGTGGTTGTTACAACATACAGTAAGGTTTGAAATAGATCTACGCATTTACCTTTTGAGATTCCTTCAATAAAGAGCACTGATGGAACAAGACCTGGAATAAGTATAATAAAAAAAGACTTAGTCTACCTCTGGTTTAGCCATCGTCACTAATAGTTCCATAGGACGGTGAGACAAAGAACAAACATGCAAACAGTCAAAGTGTTTCATGTACAATGTTGACATAAATAACCACACAATATATTGTTGCTAATTGCATCTCAGATACAAATAAATAAAATTCTAACTTAACCAAAGATATGTAAGGAGGAAGGAGTGGACAGAGCTCGTAATGTCCAAAAAATTGACGAACAGATGGACCAAAACAGAACATAAGAAGTTAAAACCAAAACTGCTTCACTATATAATTAGCTTCTCGGGACAAAAATGGGGAAAGAAATAAACCCTAAAACAATCGACCTTAAGAACCTAACAGTTCCAAAGCGTAGATCTAACATCGATTGCAGAGACACCAAAGGCAATTCGATCAGATCGAGCATCGGCAGAGAACAAATCGCTGGGGAAACTAAATCAGATGTATATGAGATGACAGACGGCAAGAGGAGACACCAAAGGCAATTCGATCAGATCAAGCATCGGCAGAGAACAAATCGCCGAGGAAACTAAATCAGATGTATATGAGATGACAGACGGCAAGAGGTGAGAGGGCAAACCAAAAGAGGAATTGACGAGACGACCTGACGAGCTCCGTTTCGCCGAACCCTACCCTGCGAGCGAGCGAGCATCCCGGAGGAGCGGGCAATTTATAGCAAGTGTGGGCGTGCCGAGTCGACCTAGTGATATCGTGACAAACACGTGACTCTAAGCAACAAATTTGGACCTTAAGCCGCACAGAAAGCCCAGCCCAACCCACATGCTAATTTGAACCATCGACGTCTCACGATTTAACCCACGAACATATATATATATATATATATATATATATATATATATATATATATATATATATATATAGTGCATTCGAGTACTTTTACTTTTCTACACGGAGATTTCCCTTTTTAATATTTCTTAAAAAATATTTTTTATTTATTATAAACTTTAAAATGCCTAAATATTAGAAAACTATAACTGGTATATTACTGATTATATTATTTTATATTTTTTAACATATTTATTTTTTTGACATCTACCTACAAAACACTGTAAATCTATCCGAAAACATTACG